GATTGAGATTTCTCACAGGTTATTTTAATTGAAACGTAATATGAGTAAACAAATCTGATTTTCCGTATTATTTTATTACTTATTTAAATTTTGGTACATTTAATTTTTGGACTTAAATTATGCATTGTTTTATTTATTTGTGAGTGGTAGACTACCATAAAAGTCATTCACTATTTATACTCTTTCGCTTTAAGTTGCATAAAATGCGTTGGATAAACGTTGGAAACTAGTTGTTACATGACCAATGTTTAATTACCTTTACATAGTATAAAGAAGTCACATTTTTTGTACGCTTAGTAAACTACGTAACGGATTTTAATACGGTTTTCACGAATAGAGAGAGTGATTCAAGAGCCGGGTTTATACCTTTAATACATGCATATGATAGTAGAGGAAATCCGAGAATTTCAAAGATTTGTAATGTGAAGTATAAAAAAAACATGTTTTTGTGCGCTTACATTGCAAACGCTGGCTATACCTTACGAGATACATTAAAATAATGTACTATGGAATTGTTTATCTTAAAGATCTACAAAAAAGTCAGTGGTGTGTGTGATATGTCTATCTCCTAAGGATAACCCACAGTAACCATTTTTATCTTTTACATATTACAAAAAATAATAGGTATTTTACGAAGCCATTTTAAACAATACAGTAATATTCCTTCTCGAAATAAATATATTAGCTTTGTTGGACATTTAATGTAGATCAAAATTGCCTTTTACAGAGTATAATTAAAATGAATATCCAAGTTGATATCAGACATTTAAAATGCGGGGGCAAAGGCCATCGCCGCGTCGGGCTGTATAAATATAGCATATAAAATGTCATGTAGTACCTATAGTCTTATCATAATAATAGTATAATTAATTATTATTACTCCAAATTGACACCACATTAGTAGTATCTTCATTGTACCCGTGCAAAGCCGGGGCGGATAGCTAGTATCGTATATTGACCAAAGAAAAAAACGATTCATAAACAACAAAAAAGGCTTGGACTGCCCGCCTTGTTCGTCGTTATACCGCTTATTAAGAAAGCTTAAGAGTTTTATCATTATACTATACTATCTTTGAGTTTACTTTATTTTGTAGCTCTCGTCTACAATTGCCTAATTATAATGCTACTGTATTAATTGGTTTTCATTTTGCGATCAAAACTTATGACATAGTGTTTTGACTTGTCAAAAAAAGTTTGAAGGCTCTGTAAATCTAGCTACATAAATGGTGAATACAAAATTTTCTTTCACCATCTGACTTCAAAAAGGAATATATATTTAAAGTCAAGGAATTCCTCTGGTAGCAGCAAGCGTCGTTTCGTTGATTAGAACATTTCTTTACATTATTTGATGTATGGATAAAAATAAATATCAAATTTATTTTAACTTGCAATTCTAGCCGACCGACGTTTCTCATCCAGAGGAAACCGCAAAAGTATACGCTGGAAAATAATATTAACTCATTCTGAGGCTTTGTTGCAATTCTATTCCTAGTAATGTTTATGCATGGCAATGAGATACGAGTAGGAAGGCCACGTAATAGCCGCTATTACATGGCGTGAATTCCTGTTATAGCGATGTAATTTAGCGACTGCTGTTTGATGATACTCGACTAAAGAATTAACATACAAACATAGCGTAAGGGTGTTTATATAATGTTAGTAGGTGTGTATTTTTTAAGTAGTAGCTTAAGCTCAACAAAAGTTAAGCATATGTAAAAATTGCATCCCAAACTGGTGATAGTCCAATGTGCTTACCATTAACCTTCAACGTCGGTACCTACATTACCACTTTCAATATATTTCAAATAGGTAATAGTGGGCTATATCTACAAGTAATGCCCTCTTCAATAATTTCTCTATTTTCATTCCCCCATCCTGGATTAGCAATATCTCTTAACCTAATTCCCTCACCCTATGCGCGTTCCTTATGCACTGTTTTCTTTGATCCTTTCTAAAAATGATTACATTCTTAAGAAAGGTTGCGGGGCAGGTGGCCTGCCATGAAAGAAACCAAACCCTTTATAAACCCTAAAAATGGTCGAAAATGTTATTAATTATGATAGTGCAATTTCAAACTGACTGGTGGATACGTCGGATTCAATTCATCATATTCTAAAAAATAATCATACCGGACTATTGCCTTATATAATACAAACAAAATAATTTGTCATCGTTTTGAATAGCAATAAACATGCTAAGCAAAACCAAACCACTCGTTGGCCTTGTCCAAAAGCTCCGCAATACTCCTCATCCGTTGTTGCTGATGAGGAATCGGAAGTGAATATTTAAATCTAACGGGAATGTTCCGATTACAGAACGCCTAATAAGTTGCGTTGTCGTATAAGAGCCGACTAAGGGAGCAAACTACGCAGGACAACAGCACTACAAAGAGAAGGAAAACTTGACACAAACCCTATACCAACCCGTCTGGCCAGCTTGGCATAGTAGGCCAAAACCTCCTTTCTAAAGAGAGGCCTACGTCCAGCAGTGGTCTATTATAGGCTGTTGATGATGATGATGATGTATGGTAGAAAGCCCGAGTACTACGGCGAGGAAATCGATTACAAGCCTTTAGAGTTATAACAACACTAACATTTACACGATGATGCTGCCATTTATTTTTTGCTTGCGGCATTTCATATTTACCTACTTCTAAATATTATGGTTTTCTTGTACATTCGAATTCGAGTAGTCTTTGGCTTACGTTTGCTTTATACAGGTAACTTTATATATATTTATAATTGTGAAACATAAAATATAGTGCAATTTTTGTGAATACTAGTATACGTAAAAAGGTAATAAAAATTATAAATTATATACCTAGCCAAATTCGCCAGTGAAGTCCTTTAGTGTATTCCTGTTCTATTAAATAACATCACTTAGAATTATTTCGAGTCGGCAGCGTTCAAAACCATCATCACCATTAATTTTTCGTTGTGAAATTAATCAAATAGTTAAAACTACATTGACAAGACATGCAAGGACAAAGCATTTTAAGATCTTCAAATCCAAACAGTGAGGTTTCCAATTCTCTGGTACTTACGAAGCCCGATGATAAGCAATTATTTTACATGGTAAGTGAACATTGACTTTTAAAAGGACTTCAGGAAGAAAGAATAACATCGCAGGGGCACAGACACAGAGTTTTTGCAGCCAGTATTGCTAACCTAGTGCATTTTCCACTAAAACTGATGGTTTCGATCCGCCTTTTAGTGGCAAAATTTTGCTTTTAGTGGCTAGTGGATTTGTAGTGAGTCTGGGCAGACTAACAATATAATTCAGTGTCCGACTCTGTTTAATGATCCGGTTGAGTAGTAGAAGAGAAATGAAGATTGATATCATTCAAACCAATTAAACTCCGTCCGTTGTTGTCTACAAATGCCCAAGTTGTTAAAGAAATTCTACATACTAGAGGTATTGCTCTTCAAAGATGCTCAAGGGGCCTTGGGAAACATGATTGCCGCCATGGAACATGATTGCCTGATCTGTCACCCTAGCAGAATCAGGCTGGAGCGTAAAAGGAACGTGGTGGGCGGTATCCGAGGGGATTTTCATAAAGAAAATAAATAAAAAATGAAGCAAGGAACTTCAACATTTGAGGAAATAGCGACTTTGGTATTACTCTCTTACTACTGCTGCATTTCAATGCCGATGTTGAATTGAGATACTATAGGTATAAACAGAGGAATAGAATGAAGTTAAAACTATGTTAAGAATACGCTGTGGTTTGAAGTTGGAAGGAGAATGCTGCAACAAATTTGAAATGCAAATAAATGTTGTAAAAAAAAATGGTACCAAAGAATCGCACACAACAGCATTCTGAAAGTTATTGCTACAAGGTTCGACAGCCCTATTCAAAAACATTGGGTAAAGGCAGTCATAGGTATAATATGAAATTAATTTAATGTAATGATACTAATAATACTAACTTAATTATAAACAAATTGTTATTAATACACTAACACTATGGACTGCATCACTTCGGTCTAAAATAAATGAGCATTGTTATTATTGTTAATCTAGAACCGACGATGATGGTGCTAACTAAAACGATTAGTTTCGGTATTAAATTTTAATAAAGTAAACTAGTTATACTTTATATTGTTCTAAATAACTATACTTGTGGTTTTCTTTCGTAATTACGAAAGAAAACCACAAGTATGGTATGGTATTTGGTAATTACCAAAAAAACTGTTTAGTCGGAAATTTTGTGCCTATTAGAGTAGGTTAGTAGTAGTAGTTAGTGGTTCTGGATGTTGAATCTGGTGGAGAATTCATTTAATCGTTGGCAACACTGGTTGCAACTTGAGTAGACCAAACACTAGACATGCGACAAAATCACAGTTAACTGTGATTTATCATTCGATTTTTGCGTACATGGGTTAGGTAGGTAGGTAGGTTAGACGCTATTTAATAGTACATCTTGTATTTTTTTTTTATTATTATGTAGGAATGGTAGCCATATATAATAAAATAATCACTAGATTTACTGTTAAATAGGCGAAATAGGGTCTTTGTGCATAGTCTGAAAACAGCTTATTGGCAACAACGCGCGAGTTAGTAGTAACCCTAAATTACGTACGAAAAAATTGAATGATAAATCAGTGGTCTTTCACAGTTCAAGCTTCCAATTGTTGGATGCCGATACATCAAATTTTACTGTTTCCGAAATCTAATAGCAGTGGTTATTTTGTCCCATTAAATAATATGTTGCAAAACTACATCTGTTCAGTCAGACTCAAACGTGAATGAAACAACGATTGGAGAACTTGAATCTAAACCAATTTCAAAATGCCCACGATGTGCGTGATTGAGTAAATAATCGTTTTTATATTTAGTAATATAAAAAACGAAGCAAGATACTCGACATAGACATTTATTTTTCATGAATCTACTATTATTTAAACTCGCTTCGATTCAATAATTTTTCTAGTAGGTAATCTAATGAAAATCAAAAGCGATCTTCTATGCTTAACAAAGACTCACCCCTATGCCACAGTTTACAGATTATTAGCAGCACTAAGCACTGATATATTTAATCTGTGGCTGTAACTGACAGCGGCACGAACTTGTTTTACGTAAATACTAGAACATTAATGAATTTTAAAAATTAGTTTCATTTTAGACAAAATGGGTAACTGGAAACTAGAAGTTGGAAGAATGGCAATGTACACATCGTTTCCTGTCGGTTTGTTTTTCTACTTCAATCAGCCGGCTTACTTTGAAGAATGGGTCACAAATACCAAACGTCAAATCTATCCACCCGAAAATATAAAGGACAGAGAAGATATTGAAAAACTAATTAGGGATATGCGTAAGAAACAAATAGAGGCATTTGACAAAGAATAAATCAGATATATAATGAACTGGTTTATTAGGTTATATTTGACAAAATAGATTTGTATTGTATTGCATATTGTAAAGATGTAGTACCTAATAGATTGTCAGAAACTTGTATTAGACTATGAGTCTTGTGTTTAATTTGTATTAGACCTGTGTTAAATTAGCACAAACTATGATGTCATAATTTAAAGAAGACTAGAAGAAAACTTGTATTATAACCAATAACCACAAAAACATTAAAAAAGTTATTCTTTTTTAAATTTTTTTTTATGCCTATAACTTAGTATGACACCAAAAATTGCTGAAAGTAATGAAACATAAACTACATATTTAACTCCTAAATATTGTCCAATAATTCCTGCAACCAAAGGTGCTACTACACCAGTCAGCGACCGGATACTATTTGAAGCACCTATCAACGTCCCGGTGTGATCCCGTCCACACTTCTTCAAAACCATTTCTAGTGTTATCAACCTACCGATTGCATTACCAATGGCTAATGGAATTAAACATAATGAATAAAAAAGAATGTGATATGATAATATCATACCAATTAAGGCAACACTTAATAGTAAAAATACATGGAAATTACGTATACTGTAGTCTTGGTCATGTGTATAAAAGCTGTTAATAAAACCAATGGAATAACTGCATATTGAACCTATAACTCCTTGAAATGATATAACATAACCTACATATTTCGGTGATAGTGCATACTGAGTTTTTAGATATAATGCATAGTTGGAATAATATGTTCCCATAGAGAAGCCAACTAATGCTTTAAAAAGAAAAATATCCCAATATTTTAACCACTCGATATGATATAATTCTACTACTGATTGATGAACATTCTGAAATAATCTATGGATTAAATTAGTTTTTATTTCTGGACTGTTGTTTGTTTTAGTGGTGCTTATATTTGGAAGACTGAAATAAACAATACCTGTAACAATAATTTTATATAAATTATAATTTTAAACAGTATTAAGATTGTTAACAAAGATAACATTTTTACTTGAAACATATTCATTAGATACTGGGGCAAGAAATGACAGATTGCATTGGGGTTGCTAATGTTCCTATAAATTACTAAAAAGCCAGCAACGCATTTGTGATTCCTAAATTGCAGACGTTCATGGGTGGCAATGTTCACTTTCCATCAGGTGACCCGTCTGCTCGTCTGCCCCCTCAAACATAAAAAAATAATTCAGATCAAATTTGGTTAAAAGATATTAATTGTTTTATACAATTTAATGGGATAAACAAGACCCAACACAATTATTAACCGTCTTCAAAAAAGAAATAACTTGTCCACTTAGTTGTATTTCTTTTTAGTCACAATTGTAGTTACAGGAATCTTTTAGTGATCAGTGTGTCAAACTGATCAGTTACTTCCCATATTTATAATTATGCAAATTTTGAAATTGTAAATATTTTGATGTAGTCTTATCAATAACGCAATTAAAAAATAGAGATCCTTACATGCATTCAGAATGAAACAAGAGCCAACAACACTAGCAATGAACATGAAACCCAGATTAGGATAGTCTTCAACTATGTGGCCGCCAATCACAGGCCCTAATGTTATGCCTACACCGGATATGGCAGCCATCTTGCCATATATACCACCTTGTAAAGATTGATCTTTTTCATAATCAGGTACAAGGGCTCTTGTCAACACTTGGGTTTGTTTAAATATTCCTGTAAAGATTTATTATTAAGTAGAGACAACTGTTTCAAAATAATATCATTTTTAAAAACAGAACATTTAAACATTCATCAACCTCTATTAGGGCAATTTATTTGTATCCCAGATTTGATTAGTCTTTATGTATGTAAGACAAGTAATTCATTGAGAGCTACAAACTATGTAACATCACTCTATAATGTTATGGAGTATAGGAGCTTCTAATAATTAAAAAATAGCACCATTCTGTGAAAAATGATCAACAATAGTTGAGTTTTTTTTAGAAACATTTAAAAAAATATTTCACAATTATTTTTAATTTTTTATTCCAAAACAAATAGTTTTCAGTATATGTATAGTTACCTAATATGCTTCTGATCACCAAAATCACAAATATAGAATCACTAAAACCAAGGTTTGCATATGCTAGACCACTAATTATTAACGTCCCTGCCAGAACTGGCTTGCGTCCTTTTAAATCACTCAAACTACCCTGTAATTTCTGTCAATTAAAATAGACTGTCACAAGTAGGTATCACAATATGTATAAAATCAAATTCTTACAATAAGCGGACCAGACCCTAACTGACACCCTGCATATAATGATCCCAGTAAACCGACATGTATTTCGTTTCCATCTAAACTTCGCACTTTGTTGGGCAATAAAGGTATAATAAGACCAACTGCTAGAAGATCCTGGAACATCATAATTACAAATTGGGATCATATTATTTATATATTTATGTTGTGTTTCTGAGCTGACAAAATTAGTTTTAACCGACCACAAAAGCTATCGTATATAATAGGTAAATTGTGAAAGACATCTTGTACTTGACAAATTGACAATTAATTGTTACTTGTAGTTACACTAATGTTATATTGCTTTTACATAATATGATTAGCAAATAATAACATTTAACCGACTATGTTAAACTACGTATAAAACATAGAATCTTAATCAGACAAATTGCAACTGACAGCCCGCTCGGCTTTTTCATCTTCGACGGTCAATTAACTAACGTACTTAATTCGACCTTGACATAATCAGTAATCAATCAACTATTGATAAAAGAAGTTGACTACTCTGAATGCTAAAAACAATAAGGAACATGCATTTTTTTTACTTTCTTTTGAAAACATTACATGTAGAATAGATTACAAAAATTATTTATGAAGTATGAGAACAGCATATTAAATAAGACTAATATGAAAAAAGAAACACCGTTTTAACTGTGATTACTACACACTGTAGTAATTCAATCCCTTAATGTATACGCTTGAAACTCTAAACTTTCAATAAAATCGGATTGACCATGTGAACACTACCAAGAAAGTTCTACGCGGTTTCTATTTCATTTAAAATTGAAGAAAATGTTTCATTATTAAGGCTGTAACATTAGGGAATAAAGAAAAGAGCTTGTTACAATTTTATCTGTATTAAAGTCAATTATATTGTTTTAAGGCACAATGATAATTTGACACAGGCCACACAGCCGTCTGCTCTCAAAGTTCAAACTAGTTGGAGCCTGTATTAAGTAACCACATTCTAATAAACATATTTATACCTTGCTTCTCTTTTTGGTACAATATACAGAATAATACTAGCAACAATTGTGATTTGTGAAACGGTTTTTGACATTGACAATGTTGACACACACAGGCAGCCGGTCCCAGCTGGAGGGCCTGGAGGTGTCAAAAGTGACAACTATGCTATGTAATGTAATAGTGAATAGTGTGAATGCGAATATAGTTGTTTATAAATGAAATCAGACTCCAGGCTATAATCAGACTATACTCGAAACCATGAGTTCTACTAGATCACTAGTAAGTAATGATGTTAAAGAAAAATGTGTCTGCTGAAAATCCTGACTCAGGCTTAATTCTAATTATTTTCTAAAGTATCACTTGTGTAAGATTTCTGTTTTTGGATGTCTTAGGTTTTACAGAGTTTCAAGAAATTGCATAGGACTCGAAAGAAAATATTTGCTGGAGATGAAAAGGCATTAACAGCAGGGCGATTGAAAATTAATGAAGAGTATAAAAAAAATAAAAGCGTCACCAACGAGGATTCTATTAAAACTGTAAGTCAAAATTACAATCACAAAACATTCATTCTATTTTTGTTTAATTTCAATCTGAAATTTTATTTTTATTTATTCCAAAATCATTACATAAGAATAAAAACTTGCTCATTCTATTCCATTTTTGATGTATATCTATACTGCTAATATAAATAAAACTAAATGTATAAGTATTTGTCTATATTTCAAATACAATAACATCATTTATACTTTTGTTTCTAATCATTTTATTATACCTAGGCCTAGGTAGTTCGGTAGAATTAGGTTTTAGATAATACTTTGAATCCCATATTCTGACTTGTGAGATAATTATTTTTAGAAATTCATTTTTAGTAATTGTTAAGTTAGTCAGTTAAACTAGTTTGTATATTTTTAAGAATTTGCCTGTTGAAATAATATTTTAATTTTACAATATTTTAATTGTTTAGAATTCAATCACTTGTATTATATAAAACTTTTATTACAGTATTTAGATTTTATGAATTGATTAAACATATGTAGATATGTGAGACTGCACTGTATTGCGCTTTATTAATACCATTTTTTTTTATAAAAAACTCCCGCAATACGAATATATCCTGTATCACCCCTTTACAAACATGTATGAAATGGACAAAATTAACCTCAGACTCAGAACAACAATTTGTGGATCACACAAAGTGTCATCCCATGTGGGGTTTTTTTTTTTTTTTTCTTTTTTATAAAGACAACTCCCGCACTAGGAATAAATCCTGTGTCGCGGGGGACTTTACAAACATACATGAAACGGACACAAAGTACACCCAGACTCAGAACAACAATTTGTGGATCACACAAAGTGTTGGTCCATGTGGGGTTTAAACCCACAACACTCGGCGTAATAGAAAGAGGCGTGGCGACCGCTTTAACCACTACGCCATCCGTGCATTGATTTCTAGTATGTTTATTTTAGATGATAAAGTTTGCTGAGGATGTCGATATGGAGCTCAAGACACAAGTTATACAAGCACGTGAAGTAAGACCTGGTGTATATGGTAATTCCTTTTTTTTAAAGATCTTGGATCATTCTTGTCTTGAAATAATATTTATTTAAACTTTGGAGAGCCTTGTTTCGGCACAGGGCGTGACCTACTCTGGCTTCGTGTTACACACTTCCACCCTTTTCATATTTTGCACCATATAATGAAAGTAGATGACTAGAATAAATTAAATAAAAAAAAAGTGCAACATCCGGTTTATAGTGTAACTGTCCTACATATTATATAGTCAGGTAGCATCAGCCAGCGACATGCGTCGAGCGATTCGATAAACGGTTTACTAGTAATAAATAGTAATTAGTGTCCGACCGAAACAGGGTTTTCAGCCGAAACCGAAACCAAACTTTCAGCCCTTGTTTTAGTTTCGGCAGGAACCATAACCGAAACTCAAACTATCATTTAAAAAATTCGAAATCTAGTGAATTTATCTGCTTATAAATACCACCTGAAACCACTGTAATAAGGTACACACGGCATTATTTCTAAATAAGAGATGAAGAGAAGAAGAATGTATGTAGATAGGTTTAAAAACAAAAAAAAATACGTAGGTACTAAGTACTAGAAATTCATCTGTCCAAATTAACTAGATTGGTGCTTCACGCGATAGACGCAGTGGCTGATTAGGTAATTTAAAGAGACTATATGCGTTTTCTCCTAGTTAAAGTTAAGCAACTAAATATCACAAGTAATATAAGTTGTTTGTTTTAAAATAGGTACAGTATGTAATAGGTACAAACAAATAAATCTAAGGGTCGTGTCGTATTAAAAATTCATACTATCTACAAAACTGCAGAAGCGCTTGAGGTTAGTTATCGCCTTACAAAACATTAAGTATAATAATATCTGAATTGAACATATCTCTCTTTTATGTGTCACTGATATATAAAAGAAACTACAAACCGAAGCTCTATACCTAATAATCTCCTTTGAGAAAAAGCAATGTTGGGTACAAGTAAAAACAAGACAAATACTCATATAATTATTTATGCATAAATGATAATATGAGTATTTGTTTTTTGATAAAAAGATGAGTTAGTCGTAGGAGAGCCATACCTCGGCACACAGGGGGCAGGCTCGACCGGAGCGAAACCATGGCCTCACAGAATACCGGTGTTAAGCAGTTCTTTCCCAACGAGGTAAACCAGTTTGGGTTCCAGCCCAAACACTCCCATTTACCCCGATTCTCGGGGAGGGGCTGAAAGGGCCGCAACTGCCGCACTGGTGACTCTTAAGTTGCAGGTGTCCATGGGCGGCGTTAGTTACTTACCATCATTGGCCCCGTTTGCTCACTTGCCCCCATACACCATAAAAAAAAGATCGCACTGAACGGCGGCGAACTGCGCCAAAGCTGGTGCCCACTAGGTAAACATGAAGTTAACCAAACGACGCGGCGACGTACGACACTATACGAACAGTGATTTTCGGTGTGGCCGTAAGGTTTGGAAACTGAATTTCTTGGCCGAAACTGACCGGACCGAAGTTTGTTCGATCACTAATAGTAGATATTTTTTTAATAATAGTATTAGCCAATTCTTTGTTTTTTTCTATAAACATAGTTTTGATTTAAGTTGTTTTTTTTAAGTGAGTGTATGTTAAGAGATTGTTGAAAAGTAGGACAAACCTGTTAAGTTTTTTAGTTAACACCTATATTGTACATTTTGTCAAAAAATAAAAAAAGTAAAGGTGCCTAAGTACCAATTGCAAGGAAGTTACACATATATTACAAAATATGTTTACTTATAAATACAATTATTCTTATTTACAGAGGCCAGAATAACAGATGAAACAGTCAAGTTTGAAAATATACCTTATGATGACAATGCAATATTAGAAGATGGAACTATAAACAAACCCTGCTGCCAAGATCGTCAACCAAATAAATAGATTTTTTTCTATGTAAATATTTAATAAATAAGATATAGTCATGTTGTAGTTGTTTTAAATAGTGAATTAATAATTAGTGAACATAAGAATAAACTAATTTTATTATTTATTATGTGTGTGTCACTTAGACATGTAAAGATAACCTAAACGGATAAGTAAAAGACTATTTCAAAGTTGAGAAAACTTTTACAGAATTCTACATTTTATTTGCTTACATTACTTTCAAACAAATCCTTTATTAACAACTACTCATTCATATCGAATCAAGCTGAGGACTGGATTAAGATTGGGTTCTAGTCACCTAGACTTAGTAATTATTTTTTTTATGTTGGAGGGGGCAGACGAGCAGACCTGATGGAAAGTGACTATCGCCGCCCATGAACGTCTGCAACTCAGGGAGTCCCAAACGCGTTGCCGGCCTTTTAGGAAGGAGTACGCTCTGAACTGTGCCCGATGTTTGTTAGAGAAAAGACCTTTGTACGAGTACAGAAACTATAAGGATTCCTAGTGCTACTACGGAACCCTCATAGTTTCTGTCGTATAGTACCTATATAGTATCGTACGTATAGTTGTCGGTCCGCAGCTTAGCTTAAAGATTGTTAGTACTAGAAAGCTCTAATTTTGTACCTCTCATACACGTAAAGACGGAATGATTTTTTATTTTTTGGCTTTCCCACAGTATGGGTATTAGTGGCTAGATCTCTAAACTATTGAAGGGTTGTGAAGACTATTATTCCATTTAGTGATAAGTTTGCGAAATAATGAGCTTTATTTTTGATAAGTTGCTGAAACCTAAGAAAAATGTGTGAAAAATCATGATGGTACTACTAGTACCATCATTATTTTTCTAGTACCGTACTAGTATATATAACGAACATAGGAGGAAAAGTATAACTGCTTGCAGAAATAAATATCACTTATCATAAATGACCATTCCTTGGGTTGACTTTTGCGAAATGCTAATCATATATTATTATTATTCAAATTTTATTAAATGTTATTTTTTGCAACTAGAATGTCACTTATAATTTAAACATTCTGTAAAAATCACCTTAAGTACAATTTCCTTCATTTTCATGTTGAAAGTACTATATTAAAATTAAATTTGGATTCCAATTTCGGCCCTGTCTATTTGTTCTGTTAGAATAATTATTATTTTATATGATAATGATATGATATTTAATAAATTATTTGGCTATTATAAATTTAGGACTGAATGCAGAACAAATTTTAGTATTATTTTACTAAAACTAAGCTCTACGTACCTTTGTATTTTTTAATTAGTTTCCATTACACAAAGTTCAGTCATCTAGTGACGAATAGATGTAACTCTTTTTCAAAAACAGAGAATTTTCTAAACTGTTTTAATAAATTAAGTATAAAATCACTTACATGAAATGTGATGCCATCCGTAGCAACAAAACGTTATCTGAATAATTTAACACGATAAAATACATAATTTCATCCTTTTCTTTTTAATACCTTAAAAATATACAGATTTGCGATATTGCGACACAAGTGTGAGTACGGACGCTGAGTGTACCAACTTTAAGGCACGCCCATAGTGACGACGTCAGGACCTAGTTAGAATGACAATGCACAGTTGCCTCCACACAGGCCCTCCTCTTTGTATTTGTTCCGTGGGCCCCGCCAATCGCTCTAATAACGACTGAGCGGTCCGATCACGACTTAATGCGTCCAGGCTCCCATCCTATCTCTTACCGTAGTTCCCCTAAGCTGCCAACAGAGGTAAGATTGCACCTACCTGCTTCTATCTACAGGTATACGGTTGGTTGTACAACTCCCTAAATCAAAGGATTACTAAGATTTAAATGAAATATTAATGTCACGAAAGTTCATGAGGTATCACGAAAATTCGAGAAAAGAGAGTTCATTTAACCGTACAATTCCAGGAAAAGTTCTAATAATTATGCAAGGTGGCACGAAACAATGAGTTTTGTAACATCCATACTGCCACAAATATATTATGAATGTGAAAGTGAGTTTGTTTGTTTGTTGGTTACGCTTTCACGCCTGAAAGACTAAACCGATTATAAAAAATCTTTCATCAATCGAAAGCTGCATTATCAGCGAGTTACATAGGCTACTTTTTACCGAGATAAACGACATACACGATGGCGGAGGCGCAGGAAAAAGCTAGTTATATATATGATTGAAGACCTCACGCCATTATCTTGTTTATATTTAAAACGTATTCGTATTTCTCAGAAATGAAGTTCTCATAGAGATTAGAATTTTCTAGAATGAACCTACTAGTAGTGTAAATACAGGCACGTCTTCGCCGATAAGACAGTTTAGTTTGAGCTACAGTGCGATAAACATCAAAGTGATCACGAACAGCAGAATAACCCAGCCACTTCGGCAATCATTCCGGACTATTATTCAGTTTTTTTTTAATAATACATGCGTAAGTAACTCTCTGTCTGTGATGCTTTCATAACGACCGCTGAATCGATTTTTATAAAATTCAGCATGGAGATATTTTGATTCTAGAAGAAGAAGAAATGCTACTTTTTGAATCGATAACCGTATTTCGGTTCACGCGGGCGGAGCCACGGGCAAAAGTTAGTATATTTTATTATAAATAGCAAAATCAAACATACCTACTCAAAGGGCGCGGTGTTTTAAAGTATAATTATACAAATTTGTACAGTTACATTCTCAAACAACCATCTATAAGAAAACAAACGAGTGCAGAAAGGTTTTTAAAAGTATGTCAGTATCAGTATGACAAAAATTTAAGTTATTGCAGTAAATGAGCCAGCTTTTCTTTTGTTGAACTTCGTTATCTAGTATTTTGAATAAATAAAACAAATATACCACATAGTAACCATTACATGAAACCAAATATAAGTTATACTAGATAGGAGTCTTTTCACTTACCTTGTTGTGGTAGATTTTTATTTTAGAAAAGGAAAAAGGAATGAATTTAAAATGCTTAATTAAAATAATATATTTTGATATAAGTATATTAGTTCTAATAAAGTTGTAGATCCTGCTTACTTTCAGCGTATTATTTTGTAAGTATATTTTATTAGGTTGTTGGTCATGTAGCCAGCCAGTCAAATAGTAAACTAAGAGAAAAATAACACTAAGACTTGCGGTAGAAACGGTGCAACAATCGTGGTAACACTAAGTTTAGGTAATTATTTTTGATAGGAAATATTTTTGCTGGAACACTGTCAGAAGTCGAATCGAATTTTGGTTGGAGTTAAATCATAATAAAGTTAACAAACATGTTAACGAAAACATTAGTAACTAGAGCTCTACTGCTTCGTGGTGTAACTAATGCTGCTAATAATATGAAACAAATTAAAAGAAATGCGGGCCATGGGTAAGTGGTTATGTCACGGTTTTGACAAGTTTATCTAAAACTTCGCTTAAAAATTCTGTCATTTCATTTTTGTAACTTAAATATTCTTATTTATAATATGTCCAAGAATATGATACGTAGGTGATTCAGTGATTTAGTTCGATCAGCTGGATATGAGATGGCAAATAGTCCATCATTTGCTTCATTACGTACTTTTCTGCCATCTATATTTGGAATAGCAGAGTCTCATCTCAAACACATAGAAATATATAAAGGTTCGTACAGCATCACAATTTAAACACGATATTGTTGTAAAAGTAATATATCATTATTTTTGTATTGTATTTTTTATAATTGATACCTATTTTTTTGCAGGGTTTGGACCTACCGAGTACCACCTCCGTTGCCTTCTAAGAGAGCTATATACTTAGCTGAAGCTCTTGGTGCATTAGCCTGGTATTGGATATTATACCACTGTATCACAGAACCTGACCATATTTTTGTATGTTAATTTTTTCATATATATTGAGTTGTAAAACTAACAGAAATCATATATTGGGAGGAAAAAAACCTGTATCTAAAAAAATGTTTTTATCAAATCTTGAATGGACCTTTACATATCTATATTTTAACTAGTTTTTAGATCATTAAAAATATCCCAAGTGGTAATCAATGGTGAAGCTGGTGGATGCCTTATAATTTTTTTACGGCTTAATGAAATGAAATGAAATTTGAATTAAGATTTATTCAAAGGTTCAGAAACAGGAAATAATCAAAAGTATTTTATACAATTTCACTATTGTGTAGCTTTGTGGAGGGTGCAGAAATATAGACATAGATGGACCAATTAAATTTCCTTCATAATTTTTTTTTCTATAAATGTTATGAGTGGTAACTGACTTAGTTTTGCATTTAGGTTTAAAACAACTTTATCCTAATCTTCTCGGTTTTGCTGACATAAATACATAAGATACTTTATCAGTTTTACCTCACCCTAAAAGTTTTATTGGTAGTCAATTCTTTTTTAAATTATATGATTAAATACATTTTTATACATTAATTATTGTAGTGAGTTACAATACTATTAGTATTAATACAAAAATTATTATAGGTAAATGAACTATCTTTTAGTAACATTAATCCTCTATATAAAAGATGTTAAAGAGCAAAGCCATAAATATAAAATAATAAAGAAATGTAAAATAATGAATACTCAATAAATTACTACTCTCATATAATGTAGACAAATCTTCCTACCCTTAGAAATATATTTAGGACAGAGATAGATAGACAAATAATACCCATTATTTATTATCTATAACAAAAATTAAAGATTGTATAAACATTTATACAACATGCTTATTATGTAAAAAAAAATTATAACCTTATGGGTAGTATTAGAACTTGTATCTATATTTAAATGAACTGTTCACACTCCATAGTTAATTGATAATGTGTATAACTTTTTAATTTTTGTGTATCACATTTCAGGGAGAGTTTACATATGTGGACCCTTCCACTTACACTGATGAAGAACTTGGCATACCACCTGACTCAGTGGGATCACTGAGAAAGTGAAAACAACGATCAAACCTAACTGTAGATACTTGTAAAATACCTATTACACTATCTGATACATATGTTTACTATGTATAAAACTAATATTCACATGGGTACTACCTAAAATACAGAAAGGAACATAATATCGGAAAGTGTAAAGAAATATAAATTATGTTGATGTTAAATAAAAAAATATTATTTAATTAATAGATTAGATTGCTTGCCTGAGTTTTAATTTGTTATAACCATGTTACACAGTGTTATAATAAACCAAACAACAATATTAGAATGTAGCACACTTGTTATTTAATATTTTTTTCTTTGAGAAGCATAAACAAGCAGTTAACAAGAACACAAAATTATGTTGACATTTAAATTAATATAGTATTTAAAATAATTACTTAACAGTGCAGTGATTTATGATTTTATTAGAGATACCCCGGTGCGCAATTCATGCTCATGCTCCCTCTACTGCCCACCAGGAAAAAAATCGCTTATTTTCTAACGTTTTCAAGGCTGTCATACACTAGGGAGTTTTAAAATTTTGCAGAGGTTGTAGGGCAACTATTAACGAAAAAAAGACACTGTCGTAGGATGCCTCGGAAAACCGTTTTTACGTTTTCGCAAATTGTGCGGAAACCTAATATTATTTTGGATGAAAGTTTTTTTACAAAAAAACAGTATTAAAAGCTATAATTGAAGCCTAGAACGGATTTCCTACAAATCGTGTTTTTTTTGGATTAAAGCGTGTTTTCTAATAAAGTTTTCAACAAATTTGATCTCAGAAACTCATTTTCTTCGTTTTTACTAACATTACAACCTATTTCCGCTTTTCCATAAAAAAGATTTCCTAGTTTAAATTAATCAAAATCCTTTTTATCAAAGATTACCTTTCGTTTACACGTAGACGCGCTTGCGCTAGCGTAATAATAATAATTAAGTAGCCGTGGCTATGTAAATCAGGTGTAATGATATTATTTATTAGCTAAATGATTTATCACATATGATTATTATTTTCTTCCATCTCTAATTTAGATCAGCTCATGGCTCATTGCATAGATAATACACTGGCTCATTGGCCCACATGTGGTACATGCACTGTGAACGTGATAAATGTTTAAAACTTTGTGACACTAAAAGTCAATTTCTGTTTACCCCGTCCAACTACGAACATGAAAATTCAGGAACCCTAGGAGTCATGAATAATTGTGTAAATGAAATAAAAATCTTAAACCAGATTGCAGTGCAATCTACTGGATTCATTTGTGGAACAAATTCATCCAGACAGTCGTAACTTGCATAATTATAGAGTAGGTAATTTAAGTTTTGAAGAGTGTGACGTGTACCTTGGAAAAAGGTATTTTGTGAATAGATGGGGATATTCTTGTGAATAGTGTTAATTGACTAATTAACGAAAGCTAGTATATGGCGAACAAACCCTATATTGCATTATTTCTGTAATAATGTTGGAGAAAATAAAATAGCAGCCACTTTTGATCGGGAAAATCGCGGTGAGTTAAAAGAAAATAAAAATAAATTATTTATGTAAAATTAGTACTTAGTGATACAAGTTACTATCGTTTTTCGTTTGCTCTCGTAGGAAAATGCAATATTAGCAAATAATATTAGAATTAGCAATTAACATGATAAGACAAAGGAATTCGTAATTAATTAAATTAAATCTAATTAGCATTAGTGCTCATTACTACAAACCAGCAGACCCCTCAAATCTCTGTTTGTCATGCGAGTCTATTTGTGAGCCCCGTTTGTGTGAAAAAATTAGTAGTTTGTTCGTGAAAACGTAACAGACACTTATTTTGCGTACATAACACTCATAGAATGTATTTTTTTTTAGTTTTAGTAACACGTTAAAACGAATTCTTTTAGCCGATTCATTTAACGAGCCAAAGGGTCAATATCTAAATGTCATTTTGTGCCTGCGTAAAAGAAAAAAAAAATGACGTAAATCAAAAACAGTGAAGTAAGTTTCTACTCTACACGCTCGCTTGTCCTAATTTTAGAGAAATAATATGGTTTTTTGTGATAACTTAAAGAACAAGAAATAATTGGTTTGTTCATATAATAGTGTAATTGTGATAATGTGATGTGTTTATAACATTTGAAATGGAGACAAATGCAAATCAGAAGGGTAAGTACTCCCGTATCTTGGAAAGGTTTTCTCTTGTTTGTGTATGAATAACTGTATCTTGTAAGACTTGCGACATCACTTCGACTGACGCATGTTGCCGTAAAGGTATATTTTTGATAAGTGCAGAATACCTCTACTTACATTTTCCGAATAGATGCAAAAGAATATGTTAGTATGTTTCGGGCGTCATACGACGAGCAATGGGCTTATCATGTTTTTGATGACTACCTTATCGAAAATTCAGCTTGAAGAGAAAATTTCTTAAGCAAATCAGTTGGTGCTTGTGATAAATACATCTTTGACTTACCTTCTTAGTTTAGTGTTACTGTATGACTCACTTTATAGACATTGTGATGTCATATGCATTGTAAATACTAATAAGTTACAACGTCGTGCATTTAAATTAGGAAAACAAACATGCTAGGTGAGAATCATTGTTTTTTATTATTTGTTGAGCCTGTGCAAAAAAATATCTTATATTCATAAATCATTATAGTTAGCTATATATATTATTATTATTATGTACTTAGGTTATGTTTTGATAATCATATATATTTACTGAAAAAGTACTGTCCGAATTACTTGTATGATTATTATATAACCTAGATCTTATTTTGATGCACCTACAGAAATAAACTAATTTTATATAATTACCTATTTAAGTTTTCATAAGTATAAAACATTCATAGAACCAATGGGCATGGGACAAAATCACACTGAACTGTGAAAGACAGATGATTTATCTGGTTTAAGTCTATGCATAAAAACCCTATTGGGCCTATTCAACAGTAAATCTAGTAATGATTTTATTATATATAACTACCATTCCCTATATAATAATTAAAAAATACTAGATTTACTGTTAAATAGGGTCTAAGTTACCTACCTAGCAACCCTAACCTACAGATGCAAATATCGAATGAAAAATCACAGTTCACTGTGATTTTGTCCCATGACTAGTAGCTCCCAAATTATTGAAAAATAAGACAGACTAAATATGGTAAGAATTTTTTTGAAACTTACTGAGTTACCTACATTATCGATAGTAAGTTTTTAAGTGGTGCATAATTATTCAACAATTAAAGTATTCAATACAACAATAATTTAGAACAAAAAATAATTACTTTCTTTTTTTCTGAAATAAATATATTACACTCAGTGTTATAAAGTTATTGTAAGGATAATAATATCCATACAATAACTTTATGTGGAGGATGTGATGGGGTTGGCATAAGCCAACCACATCACATCCTATCATACACAATACAAGTATTACTCATAATGATGTAAAATTAGCAACATTGCTGTAACAAAATGGCTTTCTATGGGGTTGGAGAGGCCATGTTGTCAAAATAATGCAATTCTATTACAAAATAAGAATAAGTTTATATTGTGTAGCAAGAGTAAAGCATGTTAAAAAATAAACCAAAATTAAAGTTGCAATTAAAAAAATCCTAAAATATTTTAATTATAAACCAGAGATAATTTTTTAACAATTCATATTGTTTTTCTTTTTGTGCATGTATTAGTTACATCTTAAATCACAATTGTATTTGTGATATAAGATGTTTTAATTGATTGTAAGGTGTTTTATGCATTTAATAAATAAATATTTCCTATAATACAATATAAAGGTTGTATATGACTGAACCTGGGAATATAACAAAATTCCTCACAATTAAAATTTGTTATGAATTAAGACTAGCTAGCTAGCTCATGAAGTTGTTTGAAAAAAAAAATTGTAAGTAACAGTGTGCACTATTACAAATGAAGTCTAATATTACATAATTTAAGTAATTATTTTTTAATCATGTAACATTAAAAATCTGGTTTAGTTAGGTGTTCAAGTATGCTTATACCAATATACATATATCATTAATATAATAAATGCTTCTCAGACCCAAACTAGTCAAAGCCTATAAGTATATTTTTTTAAGTGTTAACAGGCGACTAAGAGAACAAACTAAGCAGAACAACAGCACTGCAAAGAGAAGGAAAACTTGACACAAACCATATAATAACCAGTCTAGCCAGTGTGGTAGGCCAAAATCTCCTTTCTAAGGAGAGGCCTATGTCCAGCAGTGGACTATTAAAGGCTGTTGTTGATGTCTGATGTGGTGAAATTTTTTTTAAACACACATATTGTATATTGAAACTCTCAAGCCAATTCAAGTAGACCAATTCTGGTCTAATTTTTAATGCTGCACCAAATAAATCTTAATACTAAGAAATAATTACTTAAAAATTATTTAATTTTTTTATATTTATTACTTAACTATATTTTTCTCTGTTGTATATCATACATTTGTGTATCCATTGTTTTAAATGTTATTTATTTTTTACAAAGAAATTTATCAAAAATTGGCATTGGTTATAAAATACTATTTCTGTTATTGGTCAGTTGTTGTCATAGTAGACAAAATGCTTATCAAGATGTTAACTATCTATCTAGGGAATCTTGTAATATTGCATATTTGAAACATGTTGGTAACATGTTATTTGTTCCAAAACAAACCAACATAGAGCATTCAGAAACTAGTCAAGTAGCAAGATTTGTTTGTAAACCATGTCACGCATGATGAGTGACTTATTACATATTCAAGGTGAAATATTTGATTTTGTTGCAGTGTCCTGTATGGTGAATTTCGCATATGACGCATCAGAGCCTGACGAGCTAACGATTAGGCAAGGTGATGTGATACGAGATGTGGAAAGGTTGCCGGGCGGATGGTGGCGAGGGGAACTCCGTGGACGACGGGGCATGTTTCCTGATAATTTCGTATCGGTGCTTGAACATGCAAATTCCAGGTAAGTTGATATATGTCATTTTATCAAGGTCAGCAATTGGATTTTAATCTGCTGTCATTACAGCATATGCACCTTGTTCAGACATTTGGACTTCATAATATAGCGGCAACATACGCGATGATCGCATTAGACGTATCCGACAGTCGTTTTAAGTGTACGATTGGACGTATTAGGAATTACGGTTACTATTCACTAAACAAATAGATTTGGTACATAAATCATTTCCTCAGTCATTAATTTTGAACGTTAATATAAAGAATGTTAATCATATTAGTTGAAACTAACTTGAGGATAAAATATACCAAGGGCCAAGGAGATTAATTAATGTTGAAATCTTATAACAAAAAACTTTCTAATGTAAATAGTCGAAATAGACTTCTGATTGTGTATTATGTAAATTGCCCGCCTTTCCTAATTTATGTAGGAATTTAATGTGTATCGTAAATGTAGAATGGAATATTATCACTATGTTGATTCGCATTTTTTAGTTTATCTCATGCTTAAATTGTATCGACTCAAAACATTCATTTTGCATTTTAGCAGGTTTAATAAAGCCAATATCATATATTTCATTTAATGGCAGAATTGCAGACTCCTCCTGCTTTGGCAAAAAATAAGCCCATGAACTTTTTGAACTTTCCTTTTGTTAGATGCAGATTTTTTCTAGAAATTACGGAAGTTTAACAATCTATTGTGATTGGTCTTGGTCCTAACGAATGTGTGGGCGACGGGGGTCACATTGTTTTCCGGCAATCGATCTCTTAATTTCATAGGATTATTAAACCTCCAGTTAAAATCAAAGGTTTTTGTCATCGGCGAAAACTCGACTAGCAGACGGATACCATTACGATCAGGACACGACAGATATGTGGTTCTATTTCATTGTTTTTAAAATGTGTGTCATATACCGTTAAGTATTTATTACTTGCGCTGTGTCACAGTATATTTTTGTATGAAACCTGATACCCCTATTACAAAACATCTACGTGTTGTTGGTGTAACGTTCATATTAGGTTATACATCTTTGCAATGATAATAAATCGATCGATCAATGTATATTACGAGATGTTTGGAGTTTCTATTATAAATTACTCAACATCAGATTTGTCGTTGTTATTGAACTAGAAATATTTTCGTTATAGCAATATGCATGTCAAAGTTCAATACCAGCAAGGGAGATTTAGGCTAAGGTTGCCGATTTACTGTTAGGTTGTATCTAATCGTTAGTACGTAGTTCTTATGGAACTGGTTTCTCTACTGATATGAAGTTACTATGTTATTGGCAAGTTTATCTTGAAGTAGTTTATAAGGGTTTATTTTTAATAGTTCTCATGATTTAGTATAAGGGCTACTGTTTGCCTAATTAGTTTTGCTATACAAATGTAATTTAACTCTTTTTATATATAAAAAACCGGATAAGGACAAGTCTAGGGGCTTCGTATACACTTGTTGATAGTTTGTCGGTCGCCGCTTTGCCCTTTCGTTTCGTCTAGTTAGATTGAAGAAATCATACTTATTGGCAACAGTGCAAATTCACTAGTATAACTCGTCATCCTGTCATGCTATTAGTTGCGCAGATGTATTCATCAATACACAACACGGAAGCCATAATTGATATGTTATTGTTGAGGTGTTAACAAATTGAACACTAATTATATGGAAATAGTGTCTGTAAATTTACCAGGTATTATTAGGTATTTTATCTTACATCATACACTTACAAAAAATTGCATTTTGCTTTTTTACTAAATTTTGCGATTCTCGGTCAGTAGAAACTTTTTTGTCCTCCACTCAAACAGCCTGCAAATAGATTTTTCAAAAAATATCTTTTTATTCTTGTAAGATTCCAAAAATTACGTGGTGCCTGAGTATCTAAATATTGTTTGGTTATTTAGACTGATTGTGTGTAAAAACACTCGGATTTGCTGCGAGATTTTTAGGCTCAATACAAGCTTTTGCTATCAGTGCAGAATAAACAAGAGTCACAGACGGTCTGAACTTATTGACGATTTGTTATCATTGGTAAGATTGCTATTACGAGTATGATATGGAATTGATAGTTAGAAATTTACTGACGAAGGGAATCATTCATTATTGCGTTTAGATCTTCAAGAAGTGCTTACCTACGTACAGATATTGTTAACATGCAATTTTTTTAAAGTACGAGTAACTGCTTAACGCGTCACTGTACCTACTATTCTTATAAATTAGTTGGACAAGTTAAACTAGGTATAGTATATTAATTAATGTAGTGTAATTTAATTTCCCTAGGCGCGTGGTTATTAAAGTATGAGTGTTATTGTTATTAGCGTTATTCAATGTTATTTGCTGCGAATACGTATCACTAAGGCATAAAGATTCGGAAATGACATAAATGTCGTATATTTGATAAGTATAAGATATATTTTTATGATACCTTTAAAATATTATAGTAGTATAACTGTAACAGACGACAATTCAAAAGTTGTTTGCGTGTTTCCTTTTCACACACGCGAAATTGTCTCTGGCACACATATCACATTCCATGAATCTTATGCGCTTCGTTGTGGTAAGTACTAAACTGTGGACACTATACATTGCAGATTTTATATTAAACTATTACAACATATATTCACAGGAACATTCATTGTATGGCCTGGTTTACTATGAAATGCACATTAAGTGTATTTTATGCGATCTTTGTAGCTGGTGGTATATTTGTAATAAAGTTATATTTTAGCTGCTTGCATATCAGTGTAATTTGATGCAAGCATGGTTGTGATCCTCGGAGATCCCTGGGTACTTTTCCAGTTAAAAGGCTTATATATTCCAAAGACCGTTGTTAGAGTAGTGTATGAACTTGGGGACTAGCTTGACAACGCTCTAGTCTAGTGGCAGTATTGTTATTGAAAATCGAAAGTAAAATTCCATTATGCTTTAATTTACTTGAATAGTATTTAAATTCAAACTCGGTAAACGTTACATTGCAATGTCGATGCTTTCTAATGAAATATATAATGTATTTTGTATGATTACCGAGGAAATAATGTTGATAGTGTTTTTTATTCATACTGGATTCCACATATTAAGTATATGTACATAGGTATTAAGTTATTTGCTATAGTCATACTTACTAAGACAATCAGTGATGTCATTCACACGACGTACAGCATGATTGTATAAGAAATCAAACCAATTACTTACTTTATATGTTTAAAAAAGGAAGTTGTATATCTTCTAGTAAAGCAAGGAGTTATATCATAGCCTCACAGAAAACCGGTGTTAAATAATTATTTCGTAAGTTTTCACCGAATCAGTGAGATCACTGGAGATCCAAAACTAACCCTCCACAGGTACACACCACAGGACCTTTAGGGTTGGATAGTAAAGCACTTGTCTTCTGAGCTGCAGGTGTCAAGGGGCGACGGTAGTTACTTAGCATCAGGTGACTTGTACTCTTGTTTGCTTCCTATATCATAAAAAATTGACAAATTGTAAAATTTCAAGAACTACTAATATACTAATAAAAAATACAAGTTTAAATTATTTTAAATCGTATTTTCGATTAGTTGGATCATAATGACTGTACGTGGTATCTAATCAGTTCCGATAAAGCGATAAGACGCGCGATCCGCTAGTCTGTGTTTGTTGTTCAGCCCTATTCGATATATTATTTTTTCTTCAAGTTTTTGTCAGATTTAGATATAATTTAGCAACATTGGTAATAAAATTAGTTTTAAAAGGTAGGTGCGTGATTTATATTTAATGTATAATTTACTCTTTTTTAACTTTCTGCAGAAGGATTGAATTATTATAATCGTGGTATTAGTCTTTCCTTGGAAACGTATTAGATTAATGTATTGTGTAGTTATTTATGTGATTAGTTACAATAACTACATCAAATGAAACATACAAAAGGTGATTAATATATTGAGTAAGTAATATTCCTGAGGATTCCTTAACGGATTGTATAATATTTATGTTTAAACCAGGATAGGGTCATGAAAACCATAAATTATGTGTGACTTTTCATCCGTTTTCTTATGTTGAAATACTATTAATTTTCTTTTTGAGTGCTTCGTACCATGTGTCCCAACTGTTTCTGAAATTCTTAAAAATATTCTTGTTGGGCGTTGATAAATTGTCGCCCACTACATGATGCACCCGTATTTTGTTTTTTAGCAGTGTAGCTATTTTAACGTCTGTTATTACAGTTGTTGTACATACCTTTTATTTACATTAGTACAAACATTTTGTATAACGTAGGAACGGAACCAACGGGGTTCATTCGGTGTTGATTAACGAATTTCAGTGTAGGCACTGAAACACAAATATCGAACTGCATACGTTTACATTGCGCACACATTCATACTTTAATCGCACGAATCAAATCAAATATTTGTGTCAAAAGATAGGCAGTCTTTTATAATTATTTTCTGTTATTGTTAAAAAGTCAAAAGGCATTATTACTTTGTTGATGTTGGCGTTGATGAAATATTCTCTCTAGTTTCGCTGACATGACCATAGTTGACATTCTGCTTTACTTTTCATATAGATAATTATATGCAAGTTTTTTCGCATTCGAAATATAAATTCTATATGAACTTATAGCCAATTGTAGACTACTTAACGTCACCCTAGGATTTTTAAGTGCGGAAAAAAGGAACCGCAGAAGTTTTCTTCTCCTGTTTCTCAAAAGGAATACTTTTTGGTGGTAGCCTGATGTTATATCGGTGGATAAATTCAATTCAATTCAATTTTTTATTAATAAAATATAAGCATCACAGTGTACACCAAATCGCTTATATCTATGCTAATTTTAACAAAAATAAACTACATACTATTACAATTGTAAAACTCAGACCATTAAAAAGAAACAACATAAAATTTGTAAACAAAAACAACCATACATCAACTTAGGAACTATAAAATTACTCTTTAAAATTTAGATATGTATAAATATGTTTTACAATTATGCTTTTGGAGTCGAAAAATATATCTGCATCTGGACTATACTGAAGGAACTCATTGATAAGCCTAATTGCTATAGCAGTGGGGCTATGGTCAGCCTGGGGAGAGCGCCACGTAGGAAATGGGCTATCCAATGCTAAAATCTTTTTTAAATTCAAACCAATAGTTCCTGAGATTAGTGCGTTCAATCAAACAAACAAACTCTACTGATTTATAATATTAGTATAGATGTTTAATTTACCTACTATACAAATATTTACAGTTATTTATAGCAAGTAACATTCTCTTCTTGTATAACGTTAGCAGCTTACTATTTCAGTCTTTTGTCTAATGTGAGTGTATACTGTTTCTTACGTAATTAAAATAAAAACTATTTATTGTGATGCATTACTGTAACAACATGTTGTAACGTAAGTGGCCAAAAATTTAATAGTTAACAAAAACGGTATATCCAAAAGAAAAAGAGATGCGTTACTACTTTTATTGCTTTTGGGGATTGTGACCTATGGGCAATCAATTATAGTTCTAGGTTAAGTGTAGTACCTATAAGGTTGTAAACATCGCTTTTTAACAGTAATAAAATACACAAATTAGTAGTTTTAAGGTCGTCAAAGTATATAAATAATTTGGTACACTTAATCGCGAACGGAGGAATGGGAAATGTGGAAAACTTGATTTATTTATATATTTATATCCAGAAAGTTAAAGCAATATGTGTTACTTTAATAATTATGTGAAAACTGCTTGATTGTGCTACCCATATATACATACAGTTCAGGATACACAGACCAACGAGATAAATGAAAAAAAAAAAAGAAACTGAAGGCACTATGATCGAAATTCCACCATAATTCCTAGGCATTTTTCGAGTTGGTCAAAGTAGTGTATCAGTATTACATTGCTTTAAAGTTAAACTATATTATTATGTTTATGACTTTTGCATATTCAACATATAAAGAAAAAGAAAGTGTATTCAAAGAGGTTTAATATAAATATCTCCTCAAATCATTGTTTTTATTACAAACATTACTGAAATTGTAGCATTGGTTCTAAGTGGAGGCTCACGTTTTAGATCGTCTGGCGTCCAGGGCCGATGCCGAGCTGTGTTCAGCTACCAGCCAGCCAACCCGGACGAGCTGCCGCTCTGCGTCGGTGACGTCCTCGAAGTACTTGGAGAGGTAAATGAACTTATATTTGCATATTGGATTAGGTCACCAAGCGCAAACCACCACGCAAAGTATGTTACTGCTTGTTAGCAGTTAACAAATTAGTACGAGTGATTATTGTGATTTGGAACAACTTTTCTGATTTAGACTAAAAAAAATTTGTAACTGAAAATAGTCATCTCTCTTTAGTCTAGTCTATTTTTAGTTCGTCAGAAGTATTATTCAGCTATTAAAAGTATGAATAAATAGATGTATATTACGTGTATCTCAAAAACGGCTCGAACGATTTGGCAATTGTTTATTTATTTGTCTACTAGTCTAAAATTATTACTATATAAAAAGGAATATATATAATGTACATATATCTAAAAATAATTTTATGGAAGTAATAAGTGTATGGGAGAATTGTCAAACACACCTTCCAACCGAGCCTGAGCATGATTTGTGACTAGATAGGTATTTATATTATTACTTGACATTGTTGAAAGTAGGTAATCACAATTCACAATTTCTGTTTCACAATCCTTTCCTTTGTTTTATTTCTGATAACTGATCAATTAAACAACATTATTACGAACTAGCTGGTACCCGCGACTGCGTTCGCGTGGAATTTATAAATTTCCTACTGTGGGTTCGATTTGTGTGATCCATAAATTGTTGTTTTGAGTCTGGGTGTTCTTTATGTCCGTTTCATGAATGTTTGTAAAGTCCCCCGCGACGCAGGATATATTCCTAGTGCCGGAGTTTTTTTTTTAAATAAGAACTAAGAAAACGGGTAACACATAATGTGCTATTCATTTACTTTAATATATCACATAAGTCAAATATTAATTAATAACAGCGGTTTTAATTTTTATTGCAGGTTGAAGAGGGTTGGTGGCAAGGCCGCCGACAAGGGCGCGTTGGTGTGTTCCCCTCCAACTTCGTCGTGATGTTAGAACCGCCGCAGGCAGCACCCCCATACGAGCCTGCGCCAGCGCTCCCACCGAAACCTGGTAATATTATAACACGACACATTACCATTTCTTTACTTTTAATTTGAAATTATAAGAGGAATAGTCACTTTATAGTTTAAGTGATAAATTCGGGAGTTTATGGATGTGTGACGACGCGGTGCAATAATATATAGTAAAGTAAATAGTTTATCTGTTCATTTATCTATCCTTGATATACATATCCTGTTGTGGCAGTTGTGGAAAAGTGGAAACTAATTAACAATTTTAATGTATTCTTGCGGCTGCCAAAGGTAAGAATACAATTCATAAACATACGTGTACAAAGAATACTTTCCATCACTGATTTACGGGTGTTGTGTTTATATGGTACAAATTCTGAGACGCATATAGCAGTGGATTGATATATAATGAATGAGTGGCCATGAGTTTGTTTGCTCTTTCTTCCCATAAGGCTCAACCCCTTGGAAACGGGCGGTTGTGGATCGGCACAGGCATATTATAGATTTTGTAAAAGAAATTTTTTTTTCCCTTACTATTTTCAAAAACAGAGGTTGTTCCTATTGTGTGTGTGTGTGTGTGTGTGTGTTTGTGTGTGTGTGTGTTGATCTACGACTTTAGAGTTTGTATAAAAGACGATTTCAAACAATTTTGGGAGTGTTATGAAATAGAGATATTTTGAATTTAAATACTTTATGGCCGGCCTTAGCTTTTGATTAGACACAATTTTTCTTACAAATTCCCGTCTTTTTAAAAAGGGAGGAGTTATGGAACTATTGTAGAAACAATTTATCCTTCAATTGGCTGCACGGATAGCGTAGCGGTTTAAGCGATCACTTTGCCGTTTCCTACTACACTGAGTTTTGTGGGTTCGATCCCCAACATGCCACACTTTGTATAATCTACAAATTATTTTTCTGAGTCTGGGTTTTCGTTGTGTCTGTTTCAGGCATGTTTGTAAAGTTCCCCTCGACACATGATACCTATATTCTTAGTGCGCGAAAAATAAATTAGCCAGTTGATCATATAATGCATTTAAGATTAATGTACGACATGTATTGCTTATACCTACTACTCCATAATTCTCACACAGGCGTGAATCATATCAATCAAGTTTATATTATATTAGTACATACAAGACTGCATAACGAACAATTTAGTGGGTAAACTGTTCGTCATGCAGTCTCGTTGATATATTGTACTCGCTATTAGCGTTAATTGAATCAATGAGATTGGACAGTGGGGGACGAACCGCTTATTATTTTAGTGAACTGTTTCCGTTGACGTTACTTTGACTTGTCGATAAATTTTTGGCGTGTGAATAAATGTGTACAAATAATATTTGGGTTCAATATTGCGAGTCTTATACGAGTAGATATATAGTGGAAAGTTGTTCCGAGGTATAGATATTTTACGTTTAAAACTGCGACAAGATAAGATTTATTGTGCTAAACGTACAATAGCTTATTAAGTAATATGAATTTAGATAAATTAAATTTAAAAAGATTTTGTTTTTTATCAACCTACTTCTACAGACTACAGCTATATAATATTAAGAAATTTGAGCCGGCTAAATTAATTATCAACAACATACGTAATTCTAAAACTTTTAGTAACCCACTTTTAGACGATAATCTTCACAATACTCTTTTTGTTTCTTTTGATAATATTGTTTCCGTTTCTTACAATGTATTTCTTATAACCGATTATATTAGATAATGAAACAAAGAACAAACGGACACATGCATATATAAAAAAGTAGCTCGTCAATAAAATTTAGTAAATTGTTTACATTTACATAAGTCAGTCCACACAAAGATATCAATCCTACTTATTGCTAGAATATGACTTTAGTAGTAAATAATAGTAATATTTATTCCAATATAGTGAAGGAGTACTGCCGAGTGCTGTTCCCCTACGCAGCGGTAAACGAGGATGAGCTGACATTGGCCGAAGGTGACATCGTGACGATAGTGTCTAAGGACGCTCCTGACCGCGGCTGGTGGCGCGGGGAACTCCACGGCAAAGTGGGACTATTTCCTGATAATTTCGTGCATTTGCTACCACCGGGTAAGATATTTTGATTGTTTTTAAAGTGAATAAATATTATACTTCTTTAGGCGCGTATGGCATTATTGAACACCAAACAAAAGAATGTATTCTTTGTGATGGGATAAAACCATTGAACTCGCGACACTGTTACCGTTACCGATACCTCTGTATATAAGTATCTACATATATTGGCCGAGTTGAGTTTGAGTTGAAATATATTGATAATATAATTAACTATATATAATATAAACATATATTGTGTATATACGTAAAACATAGATATATACGAGGGTGGTCTGAAAAGTTTCCGACCTCAACACGAAGATGGCAGCACTCGTAAATAAAAGCTAGTGAATTTCGCTGTTTATCTGTTGACAGTTACTCGCCAAAGTTTCAGCCATTTTTGACGCGCAGTTGTTATGTGACAGTCGTTTGAGTGAATTGATGTGAGCGTTTTTATGAAGTTAGACAAAATCGAGTATCGATCTGTCATTTAATATTTGTTTTTAAAAGGCAATACGCTTACGCAAATCAAAGATGAGTTGGATTCTGTGTATGGGGATTCTGCACCATCATTTACCACAGTGAAATTTTGGGCAGCTGCATTTAAATTGGCGTGGGAGACGATGAACGTTCGGGACGTCCAAAAACTGCAACTACCGACGGAAACATCGCCAAAGTTCACCAAATGGTGCTAAACGACGACCGAATTAAATTGAGAGTGATAGCAGAGGTTATGAATATGTCAAAAGAACGTGTTTGTCACATATTAAATCAACATTTAGACATAAGAAAGCTGTGCCGCGTTTGCTCACGTTAGACAAAAACGTGTTTGAATGAACCAACGCTTTTTAGGCGCAATAAATCCGATTTTTGGCGCCAATTAATTACTGTAGATGAAACAGTATCAGAAACTTGGATACACCATTATACGCCCGAAACAAAAATACAGTCCAAACGGGTCCAAAAAAGGTAAAAACTTGACATGCTGAAGGCTGTACTTGCGGAAAAACGACCACATTTGCAAAAAAGAAAATCCTGTTTCACCACGACAACGCACCGTCACACACCTCAGCGGTTGCCATGGCGAAAATCCACGAATTACGACTGCTTGACCATCTTACTCACCAGATCTAGCCCCAAGCGGCTTCTTCTTGTTCCCTCATCTAAAAATTGCGCTCGGAGGACAGACATTTTCGTCAAATGAAGCGGCAGTCACCTTCGTGAACAATTATTTTACAGAGGAAAACGCCGAATACTATTTGGACGGGTTACAGAGATGGGAGCATCGCTGGGAGAAGTGTGTAGAGTTTCAAGGAGCCTACGTTCAAAAAAAAAAGGTCTTGTGTCTTTGATAGGTCGGAAAATTTTCAGACCACCTTCGTATTCATGCTGGAACTTTTCGAATAGAAAAAAACCTGTTAAAATAAAAGTAAAAAATAATTTTCAAGTTTTAACTTCTGCCGGCACTCCCGGAGTGCGACTGTTGTATTTTTCTGAAAGGATTGGTCGCTTAGACTAGTCCTTGGCACGTCTTTTCTACTTGTCAAGTATAAATAATTGTAGATTTGATGGGCCTGTTAACTTAGTGGTTGGTGATTCTGACAGTCCTACCCAGGACAAATAACAGTGTGTGAGCACGATTATTTGTTCTGTCTGGGTGTAATTTATCTTTAATTTGAATGTATTTAGAAATAATTAGGTATGTTTATCAGCAGCCTGGTTACTATAGTACAGGCTCTGCCTAGTTTGGGATCAGACGGCCGTGTGTGACATGTCTAAGGTTATTATATTATATTTTTAGGTAAACCGTAGAGACCTTAACTTTCAGCGTATGAGCAACTGGCATGAGTTCTATAAATAACTGCACTTCTCGCCATATGCGGCAGCCCAAATTCAAATTTTCAAAACATCAGATTTAATGTCATTTATTTTTTTCGACTGCCTTGCTTTCTTTGAATGTTGATGATTCATTAAAAAAAACTGATGCAATACGATTGTAGTAAATTAGTTACAGTTCTTATCTTTGATTTGCTCGAATATTCCAGGTGTATTTAATACAAGTCCGTTAGTACAAGAATGGGTACATAAATAGTATGTTACATCATCTCCGTTGAAATGAAACTGCGCGTTATATTTCTTGGTATTGTTCGAAGCCGTTACTATAGATCTACATGTCTTGTCAAATATATCTGTAAAATACATTGTTTGTTTCAAGTTAGTATGCGTAAATAAAATGTAAACGTAGTGTAGGACGCCCACAGGCCAGGTGGAGTGACGATTTGCGCAAGATGGCTGGCAGGAGCTGGATGCGAAAAGCCCAAAATCGATCTAAGTGGCGTGCAATGGGAGAGGCCCATGTCCAGCAGGGGACTGCGATAGGCTGATGATGATGATATAATGATATAATTTATTTTTTTAAATCAGACACTATACCTCCTATTTGCTAATGTTTGTATCGATTATACAGTTCTACTTTTTATCTTTTTTTTACTCCGTGTGGATTGAGAATACGGAGTGTCACCATCCCTATTCATCCTTTGGCTGTCGTAAGAGCCGACTAACTGAGGACAATAGCACAGCAAATAGAAAGAAAACTTGAAACAAATCTCATACCAACCCGTCTGGCCGGCGTGGTATAGTTGGTCAAAACCTTATTTCTAAGGACAGGCTTATGTCCAGCGGTGGACTATTTTAAGGGCTGTTGATGATGATGACCTATTTTTTCAACAGAGGTTTAGGTCCTGTTTCTAATTAATGTTACGGTGCTTTCTGCTCTGCAGGGACACTCATGCCGTCTCAGAAGTTAAAACTTTTAAATAGGCGTGCTTCCTACTACGTGAGTGGAATGAAAATGAAATTGAAATTAAAGCAATTGCATATCAATACTCATTAATTTAAGAATGTCAAGGTCTTACACTCAAATACATTTTTCAAGTTTTTCTTTTTGACGGCTTGGTCCTTCTCACCAGACAGCCATCTGACTTTATATCACTTTAAAAAATACCGCACAATTTCTACCTACCTATCTAACCTATCTTGTAAGCAATTACATCTCATCATTCGATATGTTACTCAATATCCTGTGCCCTCTGTACCCTTCACCCTGCAGAGGGCGTCCAAAGTTACCCTCCAACTCAATCGGCCTTTCAATGTGGACCTGTTTAATTTTAGACCTACAAATTACAAGATATATTAGAATAAAAATATTTCGATTATTACTGAGAAACATTAGTATTCTTAATAGTATTTCTCACTAATAAAATATTTTTACATACTGATAACTCCAATCAGAGATCTCCCATTCCAGTCATTGTAGATTCTTAGAATTTGTAGATACTCCAAGGTTCTTAATAGATAGGTCGTTTCTTTTCTCATGAATCACTCTAATGGTGATACAAGTATATTTGTTACTGCGATGTGATTGTGACGGAGATTTGTAATTTCTATTATTGCAAGACATAATACAATACTTTATAGTGATGATAATTTGCAGCAGTTGGTGCAACTTCTTAATAGTAAATGTTAAGACATAATTTAGTAATTAGCATTACTTAATAATAGTGGGTATAATTTATTTTTTTAAGTAGTATGATATTTGCTTACGAACTTAATTAATAGCGGGCAAATTTATTTGAAATGCACTTCATCGATGTTGTTATTAAAAACCGAATATTTTTCATTTTGATTGAGGTCAGTACGGTGTAAAATGCAATTTATTTTTATTCTTGTTTATTGGTTAATGCAATTCGCCAGTTAGCTTTACATCGTCTTCTGGGGGAATATAGTTGTATCCATTATTAAACTAACTCTGCTTTCTTTCGAACTCTGTCAGCGCTCAAGGCAATATGAGTTCTAAATATATTGTCATGTTCTGAATATTTCAGTCCCTGTTTTATTTTATTGTATCCTAGCTATTGCCTGCGGATACGCTCGCTTTAATTATGTCTTTCAAACTGCCATACATCCGTCCATCCCTTATTGTACCCCTTTAGGGGTGAAATTGCTAAAAACTATTTGTTAAGGGATGCTTACAACATAAAAAGCATCAGCTTTTAAAATTTTATGTTTGTAGCCGCATTGGTTTAGGCTCTGTGTTGATGAATTAGTTAGCCAGGGCAAGTAATTTTAAATGTAAAAATTTTAATAGACAAATCACATCAGACCACAGAATTGATCACTTCCTGATGAGTTCAACCATTTCATGTAGGTAATCTTCGTATTTTATCAAACGATTAGTTACATTATGATGTCTTCTGAATTGATAAAGTAACTATTTTATAATGAAATAGTCATTTATTAGTGATCATATCGTTAAACAGTCACATTATCGGCTGTCGTCGTATACATTCTCCTGCCTATATATACTATACTAATATGACAACAAAGAACATTATCATTTTTTATTTGTTTGATAAATATACTCAGGTGCGAACACATTTGGATGCATCTCATCATCAAATACCAGTATTCTGGCAATTATTAACGCAATAGATTATATAATTTGACTATCTAATTAATTGATGTTGATATTCAGTTTCGTATATGTTTCATTCCCTGACATTTACAAGGTTGCAAGGTTATATCAATAATGCCTGTTATATATTCAAACAAGTATGACAGCCTAGGTGACGTAATTTATATGATTGGTCAAAATGCCGCAGTTATTGCAATACACGCATGTTTATTTTTTTACGCATTTCACAAATCGTGTAAGATATAATAAATGTGTACTTTGTCACGCATTTTAGGTGTAGTATGCATTTTAATTAAGCTTTTTGTTAGCATATTGCACAGGAAATATTACACAAAAACCCAAAGTAGATCTATCGTGAGCGTAATTATAAAACAACATTTTGATCGGGGCGACACAAAGCTCGCAGAAGTAACTTTTTGGGCTTAAATATATATTTACCTTTGTTAAACCTGACCTGACCTTGACCTCTTGACATGATAATCGTAAGAAGTAGGTACCTAATAAAATTACATAAAAATGTTTATTTCTGCAACTCAAGTAATGTTGTTGACCTAGATATAGTTGTTTTGTCACCTATATTTTCATATTTGATACAATGTTGTAATTTTATTTCTATGCTGGTCTGTTTATAATTTAAATAAGATAATGAACTAAGCGAAATATATTTTTTATCCGACGTTATCATAAAGTACTCCATTTGGCGCGTAAATTTTTTTATGCTTAACTTTTCACACGTTAGTACTATAACAATGTTTATGGTTTCGCGCGCGAAAAAGCGCGAGCAATGCACAGAAAACCACTACACAGTCTGTTAGTAAACACTCCATCCACTCTAGTTGGATACTCGATGTGCTGCTATTGACATTTCTCGTGAAGGTTGCGAGCTAAGTCGTGATTTTGCGTAACTGGCCTCACCGTGTTTGTCTCGACTCTACACTGTCTTTTTGTAACTAGTTGTCTCACAATTCGCGTTGGTGTAACACCAATGCCGCTTGTTGCTCCATTCGTTTCCTCGACTTTGTGATTTTCTAATATGGTTTTCGAAAGTGAGTTCATCGTTTAAAATGTTGTAAATATTCATTTAATTTTTTCCACACTTGTTTGTAAATTTATTTTATTTAACTCAAACGTTTGGTATGAAACTAGTGAAGTAAGACGTATTGATAAAATATTATGACATCGTGCATTAAAAAACTATTATCGGAGTTATAAAAGTGTTTAAATGTAGTTGAAAGAAGTGTTCGAAGAAAGATATTGACAAGTGATAAAATAGTTATTAGATGTTTGGAAGTAAAGAAAAATGTTCATAGTGATTAATTAAATACAATGTGCAAATTACACGGTAACCATTATTAATACAACAAACACTTTTATTGGGTGTATATAATACTTTTTAATCCAATCCTGTTGATAATTTTTTTTTTTAAACATACATATAAGTGATAAATACAATTTTTTGACTATATCATAAAATAGTTCTAATATTCTCTTGGAGCTGTAGAGGGTTAATACACAAAAATAGGAATATTTCTAACATTGCAGAAACCTGCGAAATTGTGTTAAGACCATTAGAATATTTCAAGTTGCTTTATTTATTAATAGATTATCGAAGGCATAATAAAAAAGTGAAATGTGGGGTAGTTATTTGGGTTAGTGATTTTTTTAATGTATAGGAAGGCAAACGTTTACCCACTATGTCATAAAATAGAAGAAACAGACAGGTGACCTGATTATAAGTGACTACCGCCATGAACACCTGCAAGTTGTGATTCGCAAGTGCGTTAGAGTTCTCCCCTCAGGAAAAGGGTTTGGGCTCCGGTAATCTCACTCAGTTGGTGAAAAGCAACGAAAATATTGTTTAACCCCGGTTTTCTGTGAGGCCGTCATAGCTCTCCTAAGATTTGCTTGACACCAGAAGCCAAATTATGAGTATGAGTTTATTGCACATCTTCTCGATTGGCCCGCACTGAAATCTTTACCAATCGCAACGTCGAACGCGCTCACTATCGAGAGCGTGTTAATGTGACAAACTTGCACTAGGCCCTGTGCTTTCTGCGAGGCCGTGATATCACTCCGGTCGAGCCGGCCCATGTGCGCAGACATGGCTCTTCCACGGTTAAAGCATAGAGTAGGTAATCATGATACCTGATATTGTCAATCCCCACGAATTTTGAGGTTTATTATCTACACACTTTATATTTATACCTTAAAACATTCAATACATAATCTGCTTGATATGTATTATTACGTGTATTAAAGCAATATTCTAATTGAAGCGTGTTGTTCAGACACGATCCAATCTTATGGATTTGATCGGTCAAATAATAGTCTATACAATGACAGTTCAAGTTATACTGGCCATTGAAATAATACAAGATATAATTTACCGCTATCTATCTTTATATTATGTCGTTATCTCTTATTATAACAAATGGCTGTATATTTTACAATACTTCAGTTTCTGCTAGTTTGGGGCTATTTCTGCAATACACGGCAATATCTTGAATTAAAGCGTTTTCATCACCAGTTCTTTCAGTAACTTCCGTATCCTAACTTGCTTTGATTTTGCTCTACTTTTAAATAATACATACTGTTTTCATAAAATCGATAAAATATAATTTTCAAAAAAATTGTTAGGCGTCACGAGAACCACCACTTATTTAAGATCCCAATCACTTATTTAAGCGTGATATGGTAGCATTTTAGCATTAATATGTACAATCAAGATTAAACTTTAATACTTTGAATAACAATTGCCCTATACTTAATGGTTTTTACAAAGTAAGCATCTGTTAATTTAACATTTTAAAATGTTAAAAAGAATTCGACAACAGTTTACCTAATGTGTGAGTAATTCCGCATCTAGGCGGGTGTAAATCAGAGTCCTGAGATCCTGATGCATTACAGATCCACTACAGTGCCATATTTCACTCTAGTTATAAAAGTTTGTTTCCGTTTTTCTTAAATTATGCCCATGGAAAAATATAACGACTTTGTCTACAAACACTAACTAGTAGTAGTTTAGGTAAGAGGTAATTAAACATAGTACTAAACCAATTTCATCGCTGATTTTGATCAACTTCTTTAAATTTTATTTTGTAACAAAAATGTAAACTAAGAACATTATGGTGTTAAAGATTGTTCACAAAAAACTTGATTTATTAAGTGTAGGAGGATTAATAGGTTTGGTATATAATGTCGCCAGGCAGACAACTCGGCAAATAACAAACATCACTTCTCATTAATCATCATCATCAACAGCCTTTTATAGTCCACTACTGGACATAGGCCTCTTCTTAGAAATGAGGTTTTGGCCTACTATACCATGCTGGCCAAACGGGTTGGTTTAGGATTTGTTCTAAGTTTTCCTTCTCTTTGCAGTACTGTTGTCCTGCAGAGTTTGCTCTTTTAGTCGGCTCTTACGATACCCACGGGATGCATGGGGGTGTTGACACTCCGTATTCTTGATCCGTCATTACAAGGACTAACATAACTACTACGACCATAACTACTACATCTCTTGTAGACACTTAATAAAATTACATCTTATATGAAGTATTGTTGAAGTTCTATGAATATGGTGTTTATAGTACACCAGGATTCGTATGTATAGTAAACACTAGTATATTTACTAACATCAGTGGTCATAAGAATCACCTATATGATATAATTATGATAACCTCTTATTGTTCCTAGCAGTTGTACTCGTATACTCATCTTCAACTCATCACTCACTCATCGTAAACGGGACCGAAATTCTATTGTTTAAAAATAATATTTATGATTTTTAGTTGTACCTGATGTTGAAGAAAAGAAGCCGGATCGACCACCATCGAAAACTACCAATGCTATCTACCCAGTCTTGAATAAATACTCTGAAAAAACTGCACCAGTAAAAGAACTCACCACATCTAAAATAAGGTATGCTTTTGTTGTATTTAATGTGAGTTTGTTTGCCCTTTCTTCTTAAATTCTCAACCCTTTGGAAACAGTTCCGTATCCAAGGGGTTGAGCCTGTGTCGACAGGCATATAATATATTTTTGATATTATATTATATTGTATTTATGTATTTTTCTAAATATTTGTCAAAACAGAAATTGTTGCTATTGTGTGTTGATCTATGACTTTAGAGTCTAGTTAAAAGATGATTTCCATCTATTTTATGAAATAAAGATATTTTGAGTTTTAATGTTTTTTCTGTTGGGAGTCTATTTAATTTCAAAATAAATTGCTTCTTAATTACTTTTAAGTGAATCTTAATTTTTTAAACAAACTAAGCATAAGCGTTTTCAAAACCAGGCTTTAGCCTTATCATCCCATATTTCAAAAATTATGAACGATAAAGTTCAAAGTCATTTATGATATTAAAGATTTTGTGAACTACGAATTGCAATTTAATATAACTTGCGAAATGTATTTATAAAATAATAGATATATTAATAATAAGATTTTTTTGCTGTTGCATCAAAAAACGCAGTCTTGTTACGACGGTTTATTTGTTTTCTAAAACTTTAACTGTTTCACTAGGGATTAATTATTGTTCAATAGTAAACAATGTAACAAACAAAATAAATCGGATCTCTGTCTAAAATCATTTTCTAGCGTCATTAGTAAAACCTCCTGACCTGACCTCAAAAACAGATCTAGTAATGGAATCTCTGCCTAAGTATTACCATGTTCATAAAATAAATAAGCATGTTGGTATTGTATTTTTTCATTAAATACCTTACACACCTGTCCGTGTGGTGACGGATTAAGAATACGGTGTGTCACCACCCCTAGTCATCCCGTGGGTGTCGTAAGAGCTAAGGGAGCAAACTACGCGTTACAACAGCACTGCAGAGAGAAGGAAACCTTGACACAAACCCTATACTGACTCGTCTGGCTAGCGTGGTATAGTAGGCCAAAACCTCCTTTCTTAGGAGAGGCAAATGTCAAGCAGTGGACTATCAAAGGCTGTTGATGTAATGTGACCTCATATTTACTTCTTTCTTATAATACAGTAAAGTTTACATTCACACCCTTACGAATTGAAATCATGTAGTGATATTAATAATTATCATAGTCATATAATATTTATCATTTTTGATAAGATTTTGGCCATACGTAAACAAAATAATTTATGTATAAAATTTCAGTACTAATTTGAACGTAAATGAATGTACTAAAGAATTTTCGACACCAACAAATTAGTTTGTGTTATTTTAACGACCTTGTTTTTTTCTACTATTTCAGCGTTCACAAAGAAAACGTTACAAATAAGGAACCAAGTACACAGAGTATAATTACACACACAAACAAGAGCGAATCGGAGAAACTAACACACAATGAGGCAGTCAACGACGGCACTTTGGACCAAGTGAGTGTTGAACATATACCAGCTGATGAACTTGCACTAGACATGTTTATTTTATTGGTTTTAATCGGGATTAGTACCACTAAATTAATTAATATATTTATAAGATAAAGGTTCCAAACTCAACTCTTGTAGCCCTCGGTACATACACGTCGTTACCCTTAGGCAGAAGCATGTTAAACGCCCGCATTTGCTGTCTATCATTTTAGTCTTACTAACAAGAGGCCAGCTTATTGCTTATTATATATCTATACACCTGGCTGACCCAGGCATATAGATTTTTAAATAAATATACTCACATATTATATTGTATAAGTTTGTTTGGTTGAATACGCAAATCTTAGGAAATACTGGTTCGAATTGAGAACTTGTTTTAGTGTTGGATAGTCTATTATTGAGGAAGGCTATACGTTATATAACATCACGCTACCACCACTAGACTTACTCTGACTGCATGGATGGCGTAGTGGTATAAGCGGTCGCCACGCCGCTTCCTACTGCGCTGAATGTTGTGGGTTCAACCCCACTTGGGACACCACTATGTGTAATAATCCACAAATTGTTGTTCTGAGTCTGGTTGTTCTTTGTGTCCATTTCATGTACGTTTGTAAAGTGCCCCGCGACACAGGTTAAATATTCCTAATTATGAATTACACCCAGGCACAGAACAAATTATCGTCAAAAAAGTCACGACACATTTAGTATAATATATAGAGGGTTGGAAACTAACAACAAACCTTTTTAACCACGAGACTAACCCTATTATTTTAAGCCAGTGTTTATAAGCCATATTGTGTTTATATTTAAAATTATGGTGAATTGTATTTACAGATAAAGAAACCACCGGTGCCATTGAAGAAAAGTCCCACACCAAACGCTGGCGTTGGCAGCATTTTCAGCGGACTCAAAAACAAAATGCTGCCTTCAAATGAAAAGTAAGTTAAATCTCTCAAAGTATTTACAAGAATAAGGAGAAACACTCCAACAATAAAGCCTGTAACTATGCCTGTACTTATTTTTAGAGAAAAGTCTTCGTCTAATACGGTGTCGAGTAGTGGCAGCAGCAGCGGTGGCGAGTGGGACCGGCCCGACGGTGGCGCCCCCAGCAAGCCCGCCCCAGCGCCCGCCCCCACCACCAACACCAACACCTTCGACCACATAGAGCGGAACTCTATACTGAACGATCCTAGAGCTGGCAGGTACGTCGGGCTGCACACTTAGCTTAGTTACAAAGTTAAATGTTAAGAGTTCTTTTTCCAATTTAAATCACTAACTTTTTTATGTGTAATATTTCTCCTATCGCTTTGCTGCAATCTGTGCTAGTGATTTGAGTGTTACAGTTAGAATAGAAAGCTTCCTATCCGTTAGGATACAAATTCCGTCCCTTGAGCTCATTGGTCAAACCAAATATGAATTCTGAAGACCGGCGTACAATCCCTCAGCAACATTCAAGGTTTTTTTATGGTACATAGGTTGATAAGTACTAACATAGTTATTATAAGTAAAATGTTATAGAAGCGTGGTTGGATACGTGGCACATTGACGTGTCATGTGAATTCTGTCAGACATGAAAGATTGACATAATGAAAAATGTTGCCTCTTTATCAAACCTTGATTTTTAGTTTCTTTGTGTATATTGTTATTTAACTTTGGTTTATTTTTTGTATGCTGTGCTTTATGAAATAAATAAATAATATTCTATTCTATCTCCCTCTAGGAATCACCAATTCTTCTCCAATCTTTACAAATTTTCTAACAACAAAATGTAATATTTGTCACACAAGTATTTGTTACGTGTGGAAATCAAACACCTAGCAGCCGAAGTGGCGTAGTGGTGAAGCGGTTACTTTTACAATTGTGTCGTCCGTGCTTTTGGTATGATGTTAGTTTTTGGCACGCTAAAGTTACCTTATTATTTCAGGGTTAAAGCGCCTCGGCGCCGGCCTCCCAGTCAAGTTTTCCGCGAAGACGTTCCTCTACAAGTAGGATTGAGTAATGGCCACGATGGTAAGTTTATTTAGAAATATAATTAATTTTATGTAGACAGATGAAATTATAGAAATTAAAATGTTAAGCTATGCGGTAAATATTGGTACATATAAAAAAAAATATAATGGACCACGCTTCTATTATAAATATGGTTTTGTTGTATTGTATGAACAGGAGCATCGTATAGAGTTATTCATAACTGTGACCTCGTTTTTTGTAACAAAAAATATCCATGTCCTATTGATGGTTAATCTGAGTCACTCTACAAAGCTTACTCACACAATACTTACTTTCACTTTAGGTGAAAAACCACCAGAGAAGGCAGAGCGGACCGAGAGGCCGCCCGAGCGGGCGGAGCGAGCCCTGGAGCGGACGCCCGAGCGGACAGAGCGGGCCGAGGAAATCAAACCGCGCACTCGCGAGTGGGAGAAGCACAAAGCGCCTTGGATGGAGGAGCTCAAACTAAACCAAGCCAAGAAGACCAGTTTCATAGCGGACGGCAAGTCGCGCTCCTCCTCTGTCAACTCTGAGGCTGGGGTCGCGAGCAAAGCTGGAAGTGGTAGTACTGACAGGTACCAAAGTTTTCTCTTAAAAAATGTTTGTGGTGTCGTGGAGTTCTTTATTTTCTTGGTTCTTTTATGGTATTTTGTACTATTTTTAAATTCTAAGTAGTAATTCAGTATCTTCATTGTCTATCAAGATGATCTTGTTTTATTTTAATTTTTTCTTTACATCGTGTATATGATAGCAAATTGTGTGTTGTGATTTTTCAATCGGTAAATTTCTCGTACTTACTGTCAAAATGCAGTGCTCCTTATCATGTTAGTATTTATTATAATTGTAGAAATGAAAAAAATGTAGTTTATAAAATTAAAATATCACCATAAATCACACTTATCACAGGTTTACTTTACGTTGTAACTAAACGTAGTTACAACGTAAAAAACTTTGTGACCAATGTCGAATCCCTTTAGTGTTTATATAATTATACTATAAGGATAATAATATTTTTCATAAGTATGTGTATTTTTTTTTGTCAATAGTGTAGTAATAGTGTCATTAGATTTGTTTTCTTTATGGGGATGATATAGGTTATATTATTTCTATTTTTGATTAGTAGAGTGTCTTTAATTGTTTCTGCAATAACTTTAAATTTCTGTTTATTTAGAATCCTAGATTGCGGTCTGGAAGATAAAAGATCATCTCATTCTATGGAAATGTCAAAAAGTACTTCGTCTATCAGCAATCGGATGTCTATTTTGGATAGCTTTGAAGAGGTAATTTTTTTTATTACGGCAATATTTTTTAGTACAAAATATTTCTCCTGTAAGCAAAACTTTTATAAATCTATAAAAATCTTTTGGAAGTTTGTAATACATAAAGACAGAAGAATATGTATATGTAGAAGAAGGGTAGAATGTTTCACTTGCATACATTTGCCTTTACTCATGTAAATGCCTTAAAAGATCCTTCTATGCCCATATTATATCCTTTTTTGGTTGTGAATTGAAGCCAAGATAACGAACGAATGTTCTATAGTGCTCAATAGAAATAAGTATGGAATGTGAATGAAAAAAACCGTTTCCTTTTCCAATAAAGCTTTTATTATTATTATTATGAACGTAATGAATTCCCAGAGCGTAGCGCGCCACTCGCTGGACGCGCGGAGAGACGCCACGGCCGCGCCGCGCGACCCGGAGCTGGTGCGGCCGGCGCAGTCCCCCACCGCCGCGGGTTTGTACTCACACTACTCACTCGCGACACGCGTCTACTGTAGCCACATATTACATTCAAGTCAAAACATACTGCTGTTCCTACAAACATTTATTAAGTCTGTGCCTCCTGTGATGACTGATTTAAGTCGAGTTGTACCCTCTTCGTAATTTTTACATAGAAATTATGAGAAAAAAAGTTTTTTTTGTCTAACTCACATTTTTTTATCTTCTATAGTTTAAGTGATAATTTTGTGCGAAGTGATATAACTGGCAGGATAGATTGTAAATATAGATGCATTTTAAGTTCACCTCTATAAATAACTGCTGCATACATTATTTTTCTTTCTTCGTGGTATACATTTTTTTCAAGAATTACTTTACTTTTTTTTCTTATTACAATAAGGATGAGAAAATGAGAATACCTTCCCTGAATTTTCTTCTTATTTTTATATCTTATTTACTAGAAAATTCAATATTGACTTTGTATTTTATTTTTAATAATACACAAACATATTAACTAATCTTCGGTTCTCTTGTTTGTGTAGGTACATACCGTGATAAAATATGATTGATTACTTGCTCTACTCTAAACTATCTCTTCGCTGGGCATTCCGCCTATCATTTTGCCGGTATGGATTGTGATTACAGAACGTTGCTAACCTACTTGGCTTGTTATCATCAACAGCCTGTAATAGTCCACTGCTGGACATAGGCCTCTCCTAAGAAAGGAGGTTTGGGCCTACTAGACCACGCTGGCCAGACGGGTTGGTATAGGGTTTGTGTCAAGTTTTCCTTCTCTTTGCAGTGATGTTATCCTGCGTAGTTTGCTCCCTTAGTCGGCTCTTACGACACCCACGGAATGAACAGGGGTGGTGACACTTCGTATTCTTAATCCGTCACCACACTGACACTTGGCTTGTTATAGTTATAGATTTACTTTCACTACCACTATCATTGGTTATATTAAATTTATAATAAATCCATTTTTCATGCCACATCGATTGACGAGGGACTCTAATCAGGATTAAGAAAACTAACGCAGAGTGAGTCTAAAAAGGGGAATGACCAATAGTGGCCTTTGTCTCTCTGTCTAACCAACACTTTCCACCTTACTATAAAACTATTCTATTAACTAATTTCGTTTTTGACTTAATATGTATAAAGTTTGTATAAATTGAATCAAAACAAGAATTCAATAACAAAATATATTGTTTTTTCAGGTCGAACAATAATGTCGACACTTGAAGAAGTAAAGAAACCCCAGGCACCCCCACCACCCGTTTCTAGTCCCCCACCGATGGCACCAGCCGCATTTAGTGCCGCAGTGCCGGCCACGCTCAGCGCGACTGTACCGGCCACTTTTAGTGCGACTGTACCGACAGCTTTCAGTGCAACTGTACCGGCAACTTTTAGCTCAACCATTGAAAAATCACCCAACGCTAAAGTAGAAAAACCGATCACAACACCTGACAAACCATTGGAAATTAATTCAGTTAAATTGTCAAGTAGTATGTTTGAAAAGACGAGCACCATTGAAAGAATAGAAAAGTCTTTCGAGAAACATTCCTCATCGAATTCTATAGAGAAACCAAGCTCGGGGACCTTGGAGAGGCGATTGCACGCTCTCAAAACTGAGAAGACGGACAACAATGACGCGCTGATCGCGCAGCTCAATAGTAGAGTGAGTATTTTTTATTTTAACTTTTGCTGTATACATTCTACTAGTTGTACCCCTGCATCACTTCGCTGTGGCAAATTCCTGTTGCATTAATGAGAAACGAGGGACAATTGGGGCGCTAAAAATAGATTAAAATCATCTTTTAAGCTTTTTGTAAATCGTGTCAATATTTAAACTGTGATCAGTGCAGAACTTTTTGAGTTTTCGAAGCGTACACAAACGAAGTTAACATTTTTATATAATATATAGATTATTGTTAATTATTCTATTCAATGTATATTATATATTCATAGTACATACTTGCTAATCACATGTCTTCGTTGGTTAGTATGTTATGTAAAGCTGATTATCGATGAGTCACCCGAATTAAATATTTTCGTAAAGTTTCGAAGTTGTCGTGGAGACGCCACACCTCAACAATTTTCTTTCAAATAATTCGATCACTGTATTCCTAGATATCGAACCTGGAGAAGCTGATAGAAGTACAGAACTCCGTGTTCAACGCGACCATCGAAGACTTGACGGCGAAGCTGAAGCAGGAGGCGGACAAGCGGCAGGCGCTGCAAGCCGAGGTGGAGCGCCTCGCGCAGTGCGTAGCGCACGTGTAGCGCCGCCGGTACGCCAGCTACGTGCACTACTGAACACTCCCGCGGTCTGTGGTGCTACGAACTGCTACGATTGTGCTTCGTTTGTTGCTAAATTACTAATTACGGTGAGTCCGTGCGTGTCTCGTTCGTCGATTATGATGTCTGCTCCCGTCGAAGAGTAGTCGCTACGAAATGCAATAAGCTTTAAAACGAAATGGCTCCGTTAAGTGAAACGGTTAATCGACACCCGGCAGCTCTATTTAAGTAATTGTATAAAATATGATTTAAGAGAACAACTAGGGCTATTCCGTTTCTAATTATAAAAGAGATTCATAGTAACGTGCATTTTCGCTCGTTAAAAGCATTTAAAGATATGTAAACGACGTAGGAGGCCTTGCTTTTATATTCAGTCAGAATTTGTCAGATTAATGAGCTATTGGTTGCTATCGAGTGTATTGTGGGTATTTTGTATAGTTAATATAGTTATGATAATTCAAAGGCATTAAATTTGTGTTGGCAGTTGGTTTGTAAATGGACGCTGCTGCTAAATAATAAACGAATAATTTTATTCGTGCTTTTTACGATGGAATCTGAACAGTGTTTTACAGAAACCATTCGACTCACAAACTGTTCGAATAAATAATGTTTTCAAAACTATCCAAAGTTATCCCGAGTTAATTTTGGGAGAGAAAATAATTAGTTGGGATGAAAATATATTCAAAATCCTTATGATAAAAAGGTGTTCCTTTAAAAAGATTATAAATACAGGTGAGTTTGGCCAATTTGTGTGTTGTATAATTTTTGCAGAACATGGCAAGTCTGTTAATCAAAGACTATTAAATAAACCTCAAGTGTATTTAATGAACTTTATCATCTGTAAACTTTTATTTTTGTAAATTTAAACGCCCTTATACTGTATTTATTCGAAATGGTGTAAAGATTTCATTGAAAACCTGAGTGTATGGCGAAGTTTGTTTGCTCTATGTGATAGTGGTACTTAAGAGTCAGTTTTGTTTCTATTCTTGTTTGTTTTTATTGTAATATTCACATAGGCTGTACAGTTTTGGGAAATAATATTCATATCGTGTATAGAGGGTAACTACTTGTACCTTAATTGTTCAATATCTGTTTTTTTATTCTTAATTGAATATCTATTATTACAAATTGATTGTTTCTGTAAGGCTTTATCTTTATAAAACGATAATTCTGAGGGAAAATAAAGAGAAAATATGTTAAATGAGTCATGTTGAGTATGGAATAGTAAAACGTTAGATATCCATAAACAGGTATTCCGGTACCTACTTACACGGTGTCTGGAATAAGGTTTTACTTCTTTAGGTTGTAAAAAATTATGAAATTATGCTAGTAACCTTTTAACGAAACAATAGTCTGTGGGTAGTATTAATATTATTTTGCTCCGATAACTTTATAGATTTTATGTTGATATTAATATGGTTTTAAAAGTAGTTTTTGGATATGCTAGTTTAGATGGAATTAATGCTGTTTAGTATTATATGTTACTGCTGGTAATTCTGTGAATCAATTAAAGAACTCATGGGCTCACGTCCTTGATCCAGGACCAGACCATAGCCTCTACCAAATTAGAAAATATATTAATTTGGATATCTTCTCTTTATTTTTGTCCATGAGTAACGTCGTGCTAAAATGTAAGTGTAATTATGATGATAATAATTTTCGTTATTTTAATTTTACAAATGTGTACTCCTGATAAGTGCTTACGATGTTAGTTATAAAAGCGAGTGTACGTTAACAAAATTTTGTGCCATTTTATTTGAAAGACGCTCATGTATAAAGAGCAATTTATTTTATACGTGTAATACAAATTCAAGTAATATTATGTGATGCAAGTAGCTAACGGCAGCCTAACATTTGTGATTAACACATTCCATTTATGCATACATAGATGTATTATGTACGTATCATCCAATTATACATTGGGTGTTTTAACCAAAGCTTTATTTGGAACAGCATCTATAAAACACATGTACGTATTATATTTTATCGAAATCAATATTTTTATGTAACAGTTAATATATTTTTGTACTTGTACAGAGATTGTTTACTTTTGTTTAGACACCGAATGTACCTTTTTGTAAGACATATCTCGACATTTAATTCGGCTTATACAAAGTTTTAGATCGTTGTTGTAAACTATTGATGATAGTATATTCGTATAATATGATCATGATATAACATTAAACTAGGTTGTGTTTTGCCATCCATTGTGTACCTACCCCATTTCGGCAAATAAATTTATCGCAATTTATATACATAATCCAATTTGATTACTGTAACTGATAAATATTAAAATTAATTGTTTATTAATTAATAAGTCAATGCTTAGTATTAGTCTAGAGGTATTAGATTTAGGTTACTATGTGATAGATATTGCCTAACTAATTTTCAAACTAACTTTTAATATGTTTCAATGGCTTTAATCATGCACAAATTATGTCACACAAACATTTTGGTAGATGATTTTATTGTATTTCTTATCTAATTAGGAATATTTGATGTTCAGTTAGTGTCATATTAAGTTAAAATAAAACTACACACCAATATGTATAGAACAAAACTACACACGTATATTAGACGTCAAACTGCGGGCCGCAGTGTCAAATATATATTTAAAAGCAATGACGGCTGCGATTCCACCAACACCGTTCCTACTTCTAGCGTCTTGGCTCTAGCCTTCGATTTACATACGTACATACATACATATGATAATAGCATTCATGGTCTTCAGTCCAGTAATACTGAGAAGGGCATTTATTTTATTAAGTATTTAAATTAGCGTTTGTCTTCTGACTCACCTGATAGAAAGTGATATTGAAGACCATAATGATATGATATGCGCCTAGCCAAGAGGAAGTCATTCACTCTGCTCTCAAACGCACCAGGATTAAAATTGTCTGGAAAAATACAGGCAGGTAATTCGTTCCAGATTTTCCAACTCAAGCAAAAAGGAGCTGTCAAATAGCTTGAGTTTAGCACTTTTTATATTGATTCCACAATACAAGGACATGAATCGACAATGAAGGACACGATAGCGACATGAGTGTGTAGTTCCCTATTTGTCGTCCTTTGCAGACTCACGGCCTTTTAGTTCAGTGTCCAGAGCATAAACTTGGTATATTGCTGACTCATTCGAGAAGTAGAGTTGTTGCAGTACTTATTCAATATCGACTTTTGGCGTTACAGCGATTCAGCAACTCTTTAGAGCTTAAATACCTGAAATTGAAGTAGTAGAAGTGAGGTAACCGAAGCCAATCAACCTAATTCTGGGGAAGGAAGCACTGCAGGTGCCCATGGGTGTCGGTAGTCACTTGCCAATAGCTGACCCGTCTGCTCGTTTGCCACCTATTCCACAAAAAATACTTTTTGAGATTTTTAGTATTTAGACTTACATTTAAAACTATATTAGTACAATAAAACAATGCTGTGGTATATTTGGAAATTGCAGCGTATTAATTATACTGCTAAAATATGTAGGTCCATTGAACGCTTGTAGTGCATGGATCATCAAGCCGGGGTATTTTAGAAGCATTTCGTATTTTTTATCTTGGCTGTATCTGTAATTCTCGCATAATCTCCGTCGATTGTGGGACTATACGGTATTTTGTATGGCTTATTATACTGTGCATCTCCTTTTTTGGATGGCCAAAAATATGTGTAAAATATGTATACGTTTACGTAATTATTGTACGTAAACATGCGATTGTGATTCAATCAATTCCTAAAACAAATTTAAATGTCTGCTTTTAATATTCCCCTGTACAATTTTTTTTATAGCAACAACTGTCCAGACTGTAGAAAAAGATCCTTATATACCAAATCCCACCTTATAGTTATCTAAAAATACTTTAAGTGATTATAGACCTCTTGGCGTCTAGTTACCGAGTGAGAACTTTCTGTGTATTCGTTTGATTAACAGTTAACTACAATTGGTGTGGAATTAAATGAACTATATTTATCGAAATGCAATTTAGTACTTTCTTGTATTAATTTACTACGTTAATCTTGTTTTTTATTGAGAAGTGAAATCCTTTCTAAATTAAAATCACTATTGTCACAACACGCCACTTTCTTCAATTATGCTGCTTAATAAAAGTCACCAAGCTCATATTTATTTTAATTTAGCAGTTATCTATCAAGCCAATAGATATTGCATTTAAATTCGTGTAAATAAATATAAATACATTAACTACTAATTACTTTAACGTATTGTATATAAAAGCTTGGTGAAAAGTACATAAATTAAATACGAAGGTTTATATGATAAACCATAAGTAACATTGTATGATATAGGACAATTTTTTGATGTAATTTTAGTACTTAATTTATTTGTACGTATGCTGTACTTCCGACGATGCATTCCTACGATTTAAACAATTCAAAATATTCATATTATTAATGAAATTAAATAATAAACTATGTTCATGGATAAACCATTTGGTTGTTTGATTTAATCTACCCCTTTATAGTTTAGCGAACACAACTAACTGTATTTAAATGGTCCGGCCCTAATATCTTCCGGCCGGACACTAATATCTTCGCCACAAATATCTATCATTGGATAGTCAGAAAATTCTTTGATGTTCCTGTATAGTGAATCTAAATACAAAATTGTGAACTATTAGAGCATGGCCACACGGTGCTTTGAGGCGCTGCACCGGTAAGAATTTGAAGTACCTATAGGGTGCCACACTGGTGGTGCGGCAACGCAGTGCACTGCTGTTTATAACGGTGAACTGTGAACGCAATTTCAATGGCTCACTGTGTGCAGGGTTACTTTAGTCTGTTAATGACTATGGAGCGTAATAAACGTGTTTTATTGCTTCTATTATTATCGGTACTTATCGTATGAAAGAAAAATGTTAAATAATTGTAGCACACAATTATTGACGTTCGACACTAACAATACTGCCGTCGCGGCACCTCGTCACTCCGGCGCCGCAGTGTATACCTCTCCCTGCCGTTCCCGCAATCCCAACAAGCCCGTTGCGCTTGACAACAGCACTGTAAAGAGAAGGAAACCTTGAAACAAACCCCTATAACAACCACCGTGATAGGCTAAAACCTCGTTTCTCCTTAGAAAGCCTTAGCCTATCACGGTGGTTGAGGCGTATGTCCAGCAGTGGGCTATTAAAGGCTGTTGATGATGATGATGAGAACTTGTCCTATATTGAAAGTATATTGTTAATTTCGCTCTATTAAAAATACCTGTTGTTGTTAACACCATAATCCCTTTCTAGGTCACCATAATACATTTACGAATCACTCGAATCAGTCCTCTTTTTCAGGCTGATAATGAAAAAGAAAAGTAAACGAACTTGTAGTAACAGAATTTTTATTAAAAAATATTGAAAAAAAAAACAAGTTTAATTAAATATACATATGATACATTCGGGTTATGGACCAAAATCTAACACAAGCACCAAACGTGCTTTTAACAGTAAACTCTATTAAAATTGTTTTATTATTTCACTTGATCCGCTGCCACAAAATGGTTGAGATCATACTAGGTTTTTATATACCTAATAAATGATATATACAGATTTACATAACAGGAGAATGTAACTTCAATTTTCCTGGGTTCGGATATTATATGTGAATGAATTTACTTACTTATACAGCACCTCTGTTAAATAACAGAACTAGTTAATTATGAATACAACTCAAGGTAGTCTCTTGACTTAAAATTAAATGTACAACATTTTCACAAAAAATACAATATACCTACCTGTCAACCAATTCAGGATAAAAACGTGAGTGTGACTTGTAATGTTGGTCAAGTATTGATTGAATGGGCCAGCGTTTATTCTAATTTATTTCATATATCTGTATAATAAGAATACATCACACTTCTCTTGGTTAATTTTCAAGTATTTATGTATATAATACCACTTAAAAATAAAAATCTTCTGCCCCAAGCCACGGAGGCGATATTGAAAGAATGTGGTGTCAAGAGATGGTTGTGCGTCGCAAGAGATCGCAGCGACGCCTTCACTCGACAATCGAACTTTCAGCTGGGCTGGATATTTCCTCCACCCACCTTAGTGCCACCAGTCTTAGCTCACTTAAACAATTCCAAAGGAATGTACATCCTGGTAATTTCACAGTGGACCAAGTGCTTCTGGCTACTGGACGTGCAAGCAAGAGGCATAGGAGATCCAATAAAGAACCTGCGGAAGGTGTTAGTGGATCTGACCACAGGCAGTCACCCACCAATGGTGGACAAGTTGTCTAAGGTTGCTAGATTTTTAGCTAAATTATTTTTAGAAGATAGATTAGCTTATAGAACTATTCTTTTACATAAATCAGCAGTTGCCACATATTGTGCTTCTTCAGGCATACATTTCCAAAATTTTCAAATCACAGACAAACTGTTACACGTGACAACTGAGTTTTAACCATAGACAATTGGTTATATTATATTTACGACAGCTTTCTTTACATCAACGCTGTGTGTTTTATTCAATACATAATACCTGTTTTGTTGCAATGCAAAACAGTTATATGATCTGGAACGCTCTATCGAATCCTAGGGATTATTCTGGTTATTTCGGCAGCCCCATAAAAGCGGAGCGTGTTGGCAGTACGGCCCATCTAAGCGATCTTCTAGTGCGACCGAGCAGTTATTTAGTTAATTATTGTTTATAAAAGTGAGTGTTTGTAAACACAGGGCTAATTTTGATAGTTAACCATAACAATACCATTAGGAAGTCGTAAAAAAAGATAATCATTTTTTTTTAGATAAAAGTTACTTTTGTTAGAAATTATTACGTTAATATTCGGGCACGTCAGGGTGAACGGGTGAGCCAGCTATCAGCAAAAAATAAAAGTGCCAAAACAGTATACGTGGATGCTGTATTTATAAAAGACGATGACGAATGGCGAATAAAATATATTTCTGTAAAGACTTTTAAATTTCCTAAGGTTTTTTTGGTGATTATTTGGTTCGTTCAGCAAAAGTATTTTTAGCAATAATAAAGTATCTATAAGTTAGATGATATTTTTAGACAGGATATTGTGAACTACATTAAAACAAACTTATCCCACTATAATTTGTTTCTGTCCGCAGATAATAAGTCAGGTACAACTTCTATAGAAATTTGGCCGATGTTCTTTCATCATTACAGAGGCATGTGTTATATTAGAAGGTATGAAATTGGTCATAAATCGCTATTTAATATAAATCTGTTGCCCTCTGAATGTTTGCCAGTGTATTTGTAGCTGCATTTACCGTAGGCACCTGAAACAAGACACGTGCCTTAAAAATCATTCTGAAAAATAAAAAAATGACTCCACGCTTATGTAGTGACTGTGTTCCCAAGATCGGGCTGAAAGCAAGAAAAAAACTTTGTTAATTTTATTTCAGATTATATGCATTCTCAACTGTACATCTATTTTTATTGCCCGTGGTAGGTAGGTTGCTCTTCCTAATGGAAAATGCTCTCATAAGAAATATAATAATAATAATAATAATAATAACTTTATTGAACTTCAATTCCTTTGTTACAATTATACAATCCAATAAACATATTATAACCGTATGAGGTGTACAAAGTAGACCCTGCCCACCAAACTAGGTATTCCTGTAACTTGGAAGACAGTGTTCCGCTAATGGCTCGTTCACGGTATTTCATTATAGGTATTTTACATTTATGTTGAAATTTTTAAGGTTTGAAGTTAAAGTAGTGGGACGTACACGCATGAAGTGTTTCGTGTGTATTTGTGTATGTGTGTGTGACTGTGAATTAATGTGTAATTAGAAGGTTGTGGATCTGTGTTGTGGAAAATAATTAATTAATTATGTCCATAAATCAATAATGTTCTAAGCGGATGGTTCCTAAATCTATGGGTTAAAACTGTGTATAATGTGATTTTGACAGTATATTATCATCACGATATCTCTGGAACCATTAGAGATAAAGACTTGAAATTTGGTAGGAATATTCTTTTCACCGAGTAGAGGTCAGCTAAGAACGGATTTTAAGAAATTAAAAAAAAAAAATTAAATAATGTAAATAGCAAAACAAAGTTTGCAGGGTCAGCTAGTAAAATATATTTTTATTAGATTTTTAATTTATTTTGTTGTATTGTATTCAAATGCGACTGTAGGTATATTAGACATTACTAAAATGGAAAATATACAACATTCAACTCTTCTGCAAGGCAGATGTTAATAAATACAAATATTACTACATTTAAGTAAAGGTCAACCTTTATGTTTGCCCAACGCGCCGAAATCCACAGGCAGTGGTCGCGCTGACGGTCCCTTCGCCTGTAAAGTGCGTGGGGACGATGCGTCCGTGACGTCAGAGGGCGGGCGACGTACGCGCATGAACTCGCCGCGTACAGCCGCCTCGCGCCGCTCCTCGGCTGACACACGACGAGAGTCCAGGAAAATCAACTTTGGTAGAATATATATTACAAAATATCTGAAAATATTTATAACTGAGTATAGTCGTAAATGAACAATGTTACGTCTAATAAAACATCGGGTTAAAGGGTATAACATAAACCAGGTTAGAGAAGGTCAGGTACAGTAAGGCTCACCTGTATCGCTGGTAATCGGAGTCATCTTTATCGATATCCGATAGTTGGTTAGGGCAGGCCTTGTTGCTCAGCAAGCTCAAATAGGTCAGAGAAGGGAAATTTTGGCTGATTTTTTCCATCAGAGCATCCAAATCACTTATCTATAAATATAAAAAATGTGTTCTATCGTTATATGAGATCTAATTGAATTAAATGTATTAGGCGCCGTACTACATTACACTTTTGTTAATAAATTTAATTATTAACGCCAAATTGTGTATACACATAATTGTGGCACAACAGGATTCCGTTAGATTATTCATAATAGTATCTCAATCTGAAATAATTATATGTTAAATAATCTTTAGAATCATTGCACCACGAAAATGATGTGGACAGTTAGATTTTTTTTATCATAAACAGGAGACATCACTATACCTATCAATTGACACACAAATATTTGACGTACAGGCGATGGTGGATTTTAAAAACTGCATTTGCCTCCATATCTACTTTCTGTAATGCTATCACAATTGCTTCTATTTTTACCCTACTTTATTTTAATATCAGAAGCTATTCAACATAGTTTGCCAATAAAACGAGAAAACATTGAATATTCATTGTATAATGATGATTATGATGATGATAATGATGATTCCCTTGTCCGTTTTTTTCATCGTTGCTAAACAGATAGGGCTGCAAACTTGAAATTTTGGCAGGTGATGCTTTTTATGTTGATTGATTTACGATGATTTTTAAAATTTTACAACTAAAGGGGTAAAATAAGAGATGTACGATTCTATCGTATGTTGTGAAGTTTGACAATTTTAAAGTTAGAAACACGAAGTAAGATATAATCACGAGAGCAAAGCAGAAAACAGAAAGCCGATTCTCGTAATAATAGTTCGGTCTCAATTCGGTTCCGATCAACTTTCGATCTCACAACTGTCATAAAAGGTATTTTCGCAGTAAAATAGTAAAGTATTACTAAGACTAGCAGATTACGAGAATTGGCCCTCTGGTATTCATTACTTCACTACTTTTTCCAATATACTGCAAGGCATACATACAGGAAGTATAAAAGTACTCATCATAATAAACCTACCTGATTGTTGTTCAGAGAAAGTGTCTTCAAATTGGCCAGACGTGGAAATGTAATGGCATCAGTTAGCTTGTTGTTATCCAGTATAAGTTCTTCTAATTTTGTGAACTGTTCCAATCCTTTTAACGTTTCGATACTGTTATAACTGTAAATATGTAGATTTGATTACGTAACTATGTTTTATCTCTATCACTAACAATCTTTGTCCCCATAGCTTTAGTCGTAGGTCTGGACGTCGATTTAATGCATTTTTTATGAATTATTTTAAGTACTTAATCAGGGAGTTTTATACCTGTAAGTAATAGACCGATACCAAGTCTTTATAACACATTTAACATTACTTTAATCTACAACAGAAATTTATGAGTCTTTGTCTTGGCTCTGTAGTCTAGATGGTCTTATACGATTTAACGCATGTATTGGTGTAGTACTTGTACTTTTGTGTCATTTCGAAATACGAGTGGTCCATATTATTTAGACTTAACATAAGAATATTGTAACAGTTAAAACGTTTTGATATCAGTTGTTTCTTACCTTAAGTCTAGACATTTAACTTTAGCACCGTACATTTTCTGTAGTGCTGGAGGTATCCGCTGGCACTCCTGCCCACAGTAGCTTAACTAAAACAAAACAGGGTTCCAAGTTTACAAGATAAGTCAAAGTCCTTATTGCATTTACGGATGTATATGTCTGAGAACGTAAAGTGGAACGTCAAATCTAATCGATTTGGACGTATTCGTATGGGGTGCTCGGCAACACTGTGATGGACAACTTGCTGTCTTTGGAACAGCACGCTGTCGAAGGTCACTTTTGGGCGAGCAAGAGTGGAGAAAATATTGGTGGAGCCAATCTCAGCGCGTGCATATTTAAGTGTGCTTCCTTGTTAATTCGATGTAATTATACCTGATAAGTGCATATGAAGTCTTATTACGTTGCATCGCGATGGATGAAGAGAGAGATGTATGATCTTACAATAAAGAAAGGCTCAACATGAAACCTTGTTAGGGCACAGCAAGATTATTACGCACATACATTAGTTGGTGAAATAAGTAAATATGCATTGAAATTAGTGCCGACCGAAGTGATACTACAGCCTCACAGAAAATCGGAGTTCATTTATTGTTTCGTAGATTTTCGTCGACCGAGTGGGTCACCAGCGGCTTAAAGGGAAGGCTTGTGTCTCTGAGTTGCTATGGGCGGCGGTAGTCACTTACCATCAGGGGACCAATCTGCTCGTCTGTCCATAAAAAACCGTGACGGTCCAAAACTCCATAAAAATGTTGTCAACGCTCAATTAGAGTTTCTATTTATGAACACCGTTCGGTAAACTACAACAATTACAGTTTTATGTGACATAGTTGTACTTGTCGCTCATAAAGTTTAGAAATAAACATGTAACTTTATTAATATTTAAGTTGTTTATTACAGACATTACAACAACACACAAAGCTTTGCGTCACATAAAGCTTTGCGTAATGGAAGCGAGTGGATACTATGTACTCGTAATAAGAAATTGTCTTAAAAGACTCATATAAAAGGGATTGATATCTTTATACGAAGAGTGATCAAAAAGTATTCATAAACGGATATATTTTATTGCAAATAAAAATAATGTAGCTTACTCATAGACTAGAGATACAGACGAGCAGTTTTGGAATACTGGTGCTTCTGCTTAAAAGTATATAGTAAGGTATAAGTTCGACTGCACGGATGGCGTAGTGGTTTAGACGGTCGCCACGCCGCTTCCTACTACGCCGAGTGTTGTGGGTTCAAACCCCACATGGGACGACACTTTGTGTGATCCACAAATTGTTGTTCTGAGTCTGCGTGTTCTTTGAGTCCGTTTCATGTATGTTTGTAAAGTCCCCGACACAGGATATATTCCTAATGCGGGAGTTGTCTTTTTTAAAATTAAATAAAAAAAAGATGCAAGTCGAAAAAAACAGTTTTAAGGACTTATTTTGCTTTTTAATGTCCTAAAGTCCAATGACTACCATTTGTAGAACATTCAGTGACAGATAGAGCAGAGAAAATTAAACAGTGGTGCTAATTCTGTTGTTCGAAGTCTCTAAACTAAAAATCACTAAAAATTAGTTTAGTCCTATCAAACAACGTTTCGTATTCTGAAAACGTAGGACTGAACTACTTTACTTTTTCAACTAGACTATTACTACTTACGCCATCTGTTAGAAAACTAAAGAATTAATATCGATGTAAACTATTTAGTTAAAATTCATTAATTAATGAAGCTCATATTTACTCATATGGGATATCAAATCTACTTGCATAGATTCAGAGATATTCGGTTTAGTTATATAGGTACATACATAACAATAAAAGGTTTACCACGGGTTGTATGTGAAATTAGTCAAACGGCTATGACTGAGAATACAACATATCGTTTACTATTTGATCTATATGCATTAATAATCATTTACAGGAATTTTAAAATCCTAATAATATCATTTCAAATTATTTTCTTAATTCACTCTTTATCATTCATTCTTAATTTTAAACAACGGCAACACTTTCCTTTTTAAATTTTAGTGATCTGACATTCAAATTTAATGCTGTCTTAATGTCCACCAAATTTAGTTCGACTTGATAACAGAATAGCATTTTGGAAATCGCCTTACTAATATAAGAGATTTTTAGAAAAATTTCAGTTTAGGTGTGTCAATAATAGAATTAGCACCAATATATATTAACTTTAAAACTGTGAGAAAATGGTTATTTAATCCAGTTTACGAATATGTTGATCAGTCAGTAAATAATGACAAAAAAAAAAATATGCTGCACATCTTGATTTATGTTATAAATAGCTCAATAAGTTATGGTTTAGTTTCATGGTATGGTTAAAAAAATTGTCTAGAAAAAATTGGAACGAAAAGGACCCTACTCTTCCCGCTTTAATAAGAAATTAAAAAAGTAGCATATAACATCATGCTGCTAGATTAAGAAGCCATACTTTTTCTGTCTACAAATTTCTAAATACAACTAAAATTCGGAATAAGTGACGCTCAAAAGCTTTCAACTAAGCTTTCATAGCCCGCCCGGCCGACAGACGTGCTCGAAAAAATATTAAAAAGCAGCAAACGACAACAGATAAGAATAGAAAAGGCGTTTCCATTTCATTGCACTAAGGTTTTGGGGGCCTGATTTCTTTGTGAAGAAGTATTGAAAATAAAGTACCACCGAAAGATATTTGCAGTTATTTATCCTTTAAGACCTTGAAAGATGTTTTTTAGTTAAAGCCCAATAGAGGGATAGGCATCAGCCTAGTGTCTACAAAAGACCTAATAAAAAAAGTTAAGTCTTATAAAAAGTAATCAACGTATAACATACAAAAATATATCCACCGTTTTGTGCGTTTGATGTTGTAAGTTTATGGAAGACTTGACTTTTATTTGTACGTACTGTGTTTGCTTATATTTGCAACGGGTCAGTTTAATTTCTACAGCTACTACAGTTGTAGTGGTATGTTTGTAACCGAGACCTTACCATTCATTTCATTCTTTTTACCAAGTAATATTTTACATGAAAACGTTTTATTGTTGTAGATGTTCATGTTGAATTTTCAAGTAAATATGCTTGTTTTAAGATTATAATCTAAAAGAGACATCTAAACCTGTTTAAGTTTAAATTTGGTTTTATAATTTTTAAAATACATTAATGATTCTTATTTAAAAACACAACTTTGTTTTTCGTATAGGTGTATAGAAGTATCACATTTTTTAAATTGTAGTAATGTCTGATTCTGATTAATATATTAATTACAGTGTACACAAAGATATCGGATAAGATTCTGTTAAAATATCTCTTTTAGCATTTTTGGGGTATGCGCCTGCTCGAACCGATGCTGTGTTCGAACCGATACCTTGAAGTAGCCTAAGCCTAGACTACGATTACTTTTTGCGGTGATATTAAAATTCTTTGGAATACTGTTTTTAAACTGCCAATTTCACACGTTTGAGCTATCTGTAGTAATATGATTACCAAGCTTATAATGAGGCAGTCATTGAAAACTTTACCCAATACTCAAGTACTTACGCTTCCAATATCTTATCATTAAATGCTTGAGCATCAATTATAATATATTAGACGAAGAGCTGTTTAATTAGGTCTATTAATAAAGGTCTACACCATAGTGGAAGATTCATTAGCTAGCCTGTATCTATATAGGTCATAATCATTCCAATTTGTCGTTTAAAAAAAAACTCGTGCAATTAATTTATTAAAATATATGAATTATACATTGGGATGTTCCGTTAACTGCTTTGAGCCAGGAAACAAAAAAGTACACAATTACTTTCACTTTAGGTTTAAATTGATGCGTAAAGAAGTGACGCAATTCACCAAATACGCGACGCGATTGCAAATTAATTATTTTTTATTAGTATAGATAATAAAGATACGGAAAACGGGTTGTGCCGACCGGTCCTAACATGTTTTTGGTTGCCGTAAATTAAGCAAGACGAGTCGTAAGAAGTATCTTACAACGCTTGTTACGTACAGATATAACGCTTAGCAGCACTCGGCCCAAGCCCGAAGAGTAACGCGAGTAGCGTGAGTTAGGATAGGAAGATTGGGAGTAGGTACATTGAATGGTAAATTGAGAATATTAAAAGGAAAGAAGTGATCGTAGAAGCTCGAGCAGTTCCAGGTCACATTAATGTAACTCGAACTGGGTGTTGCCAGTAAACCTGATTCTTTGAACTTGATGATTGAATTAATCATCCGTATATTTAAAAAGTCCGTGTGGTGACGGATTAAGTAAACGAAGTGTCAGAACTTCTATTCATTCCGTGGGTGTCGTTAAAGACTAAGAGAGCAAACTGCGTAGAACAGTAACACAGCAAAAGAGAAGAAAAAATTGGCACAAACCAACCTATCTGGACAGAGTGGTATGGTAGGCCAAAACCTCCTTTTTAAGAAGAGGCCTATGTCCAGTGGACTATTATAGGCTGTTTATAATGATGATGATTTAAAAGAGATATAAAATCTCTTTCGAGTCCGTTCAGCCGTTCATTCAACCAATAATATACAACCAATATAAATAGCTCCAGTGTCTTCAAAGTTGCGTTTGAGTTTTTACTCAAACGTGACTTTCTCCTGGATATATATTTTATTTGTTTCCGGAGCTTTCTTCTCTACACGTCCAGTTCTAATTGAGGTACGCGGTTCATGTTACATTTGCTGTAGCGAGCTCTTTCACTTGACGGAAGCTTTGCAGTTGTAAACATTCAACTTAAACTTAATACTGTGAAGCAGCACGGTAACTCTTCCTTAACATTTATTTCCCAACTCCGTACCATATGTATATCTTTCATTATCGAAATCAAAGACCAGGATCAGAATTGGGCTTCAATTTAAACTGTTCAAGAAATGTTTTGCACTTACTATCTGTCATATCCTTGCCTGTCATATATGTACCTATAAGACGACCACAGGTTTTATGAGTAAAGTGAGCAGACAGTCAGGGTTGAAAGTTCATTTACGACTCGATAAGACGCAAAAAATTCAAAGCAGTAACTAGTACCTACCTAGCTTACTGGATAATAAAAGGTATTGTTTCTTCGGAAGTATTCCTAAGGAATAAGCAATTATATTAATATAATTGTAATATTTTAAAATAAAGATATTGTGAAAATTAAATCATTTCACTACTTCGAAACATAAGAAATGAGATTAGATTATTTATAAATTTTGACTGGCCCTAGACATTTCTACTGACTTGCCCTAGATATACACTAGCGGGCCCGACAGACGTTGTTCTGTATTTGTAGTTGTCTTAAAATAAAAATACATTTTGTAGTTGACAAAATAATTGTGAATCTAAACCATTCTCAAATCCATTTGAGCACACATAAAGTTCAGTCATATACACACAAATTATATATATAGATATATAAAGATATGACAAAACTGCAAAACAAGATGTTTTTCACAAAACATTGTAATTAAGTAATGTATGTCAATGTACGTAAAAATGGATGACTCTTAATTAATGCAAAAGACTTTATATATAAGAAATGAACACAAAAAATATGATAAACAGAAATATAACTTTGTAATTGGCATGCATACCTGAATACTGCCATACTCTATCAACAAACTAACATGGGAGATCTGTTTCTCTGTTTTTAAACTTGGTAATGACCGATGAACAGTTATCAATTGCAGTTCATATCTATAACAGGTTCTCAGGGCCTTTGCCACTTCTTTTGCTTGACACTGTGTCACAGCCCTTGCACACCCTGATATTATTACAATCCATTTAATTATTGTCAATGGAAATGAGTGGGTTTCTAACAAAGTAAGTGTTAAGGTGCCTACGTTAAACACACTGCTTAAGATTTTGTAAATATTTTTCAATATGCTATAACATTGAACAGGCATTTTGATGATGTTACTTCTTGAAATGTACAGATTCTTGAAAAGTAATTTGTATTTTGATTGAAAAGCACACTTTAAAACAGGTTTAAACTTATACAAGATGGATTCTTTGTACACAAACAATTATAGCACTTGAAGAATATAATTAAATGCGATATATTCCACTGCAAATTTTTATACATTTCTCAATTGTAAAGTAAAGTTTGTACTAGCCTTTTTCTAAACTCCTATACATGTTTTACACATAACTTAATTAGTGAAGGCAATAAACATTGCTATTTTTAAAAGTGTGTCATATGTCTTTCACATACTTTAACAAGTTAGACTAACAGGTTATTTAATTCTATTTAGGTACATGCAATAATAAAGTATACTTGTAAATTATAATATAGGTATAATACTTAGGCTGTATTATTATTTATATTTCAGAGTAGCGGCTCTAATGGACCAATGTTGTCTAAATTGCAGTTCGCTTTCCTGCTGTTTCATTTTGATCTTGTGATATCTTTGCCACTGGTTTTACCAAACAAAAGTATGTTTTCAACAAAATTTTTTATCTATACTGTAATGTTGAATTATTGTAAAGTCAACCCACATTAAACTAATAGGATGGACTACGCCCAACAGTTGGATAGTCTATTTACATAATTAATGTAAGAGTATGATTTTCAACATTAATTTTTGAAAAAATCTTTGTTCTTGTCAGTTGAGTACTGACAGAAAAGGAGCTAATAAATTCTTTTAATTAAGTCCCAGATGTTTAAAAATAATTTTGAAGTAATCTAAATAATATTATCTTGAGCCCTGACTGTTAATTTAATATAGGCAAGTAATAAATAACTTTAAGTTTATATACCTATATATTATAAATATATATATTTAAAAAAAAAAAAAAAAATTACCTAACTACTGTAATATACCTGTTTGAAAAACAATGCCATTATCAATACATAATTCTCCTAATTAGAATTCTTTAATTGTTAAACATGCTTTGTTTTTTCACAGATTTATGACCATAGATTTTATGTTAGTTTTATTTAATAGAATAAACTATTGGTATATACTCACTCTATTACTTTCAAAACATAAGGCGGTGTGATTTACTTCCATTGTTCTGTGAGGTATAACTTCATACCATTTCAAATGTTAAAAAACAACACAAAACTTGTTTACTTATCTAGGTGCCATCAATTCCATGTGTTGCACGTTCTCGATATAAATTTACCCCAAACAGCTCCAAAAATCTCCCTGAAAAGTTAATATTTAAAAAATATGACAAATATTACCAGTCGAAGAAATTCCGATTTAGATTTTTTAGACGTTAACTAAGATTTTTCAGTAACAGTAATAATAGGGGTTAAAGTAGACATGGAAATTATTGCCAAGGCGGTCTTAGGCTATGCTGGTGCCGCTGGGCACACAAGAATTTGGGGCCCGGCTGGACAGTAAGACTTTAGATGCGAAAATGAGCTCTCTCTACTACAATTGGTAACCATAAAGCATAGTGCAACACAGGCCACCGGCGGACCGGAGGGGAGTAGCCACAGCGTCTTTTCGCGATACAAAATAGTCTGTCATTTTTTGCGGGGGCATCTTCACCACACACACATTCTCAATCTCCCATTCATAAACAATTGGCTGTCAACACACAATAACAATTAAAACCAAACATCAATTCAACAATTTCACATACGCCAATACACATTCTGTGTAACTACAGTGTAATTAAGTGACGCACTACATTGACATATTGCAAACAACCGTGGCTCTAACAACTACTGATAGATTTACTGGTTTTTAAACTGGATTAATTTTGTATAAATATGACGAATACATTTCTGTGGGTTAGCTTTTTTCATTAAGAATGTTCCATCCTTCCACTGTTCGCCAATACTTAAAAGTCAGAGGTCTTCAAATGATCTGAGCAAATGATACTTGTAGGTATCCAGTCTCGGTCCGTGTGGTGACGGATTAAGAATACAGAGTGTCACCACCCCTATTCATCCCGTGGGTGTCGTAAGAGCCGACTAAGGGAAAAAACTACGCAGAATAACAGCACTGCAGAGAGAAGGAAAACTTGACACAAACCCTATACCTACCCGTCTGGCCAGCGTGGTATAGTAGGCCAAAACCTCCTTTCTAAGGAGGGGCTTATGTCCAGCAGTGGACTGTTATAGGCTGTTGATGAGTCTCGGTTATTGAAAAGTTCTTCCATATAGCCTTTAAACTCGAATCTTTAGAAAACCTGCAATAATTAAATAAAAACAATGTACCTAGTCGTAGTAAGAGGCTATGTATGACGTATGCTGACGTATGATGATGAATGAAATATCTTTCATTTCTATAGTTATAAATGAAGTATTTTTTAATTATATTCATTAGAATATTTAGTCATTCAAACTATGGCATTTTAACCTTAAGTAAATATTTATATTAAGGAGAAAATGATTATTCAACCGAAATATGTGAAATTGTACGTACAATTTTACGAATTTGACAGTTTTCCAAGATGGTAAATTTGTAAGATGTATTCTTTGCAAAACAGAAACTTGTACACAGTTACATTTACAATTTGTAATGTATTTAAACAGGGCCCAGAGCGATCCGACGCGTAATATCGCGAAACGTGTAATAAACAGTATATTTAATTTTGAATTTTCACACTTACTTAGGTATTCCTTTCAAATAAATTTTTTTTCCGATTTGTTTCATAAGTGACAGAGTACATACAACTGAAGTGAGTACCTTATTTTTTTAATTTGTTAAAAAAGAAAACTTTGTTAAAAAAGACAAAGAGAAAGTTACTTTTACGTGGTTGATCACAAAATTCTTTAAAAAGACCACTAATTTAGAGTATTTTAATCGATGATAATAAATAGGTTGATGATTTGACGTTCTTAGATAGGTCTCTAAAAACATAGAAATATCAGACCTGTATATAATGGGTAGATAGGTGTACCTAGATAAATAAATATAGATACACAAATATACTTATTACATTTTAGTTGAAGAGATTATATTTGATATGTTGATAGCCAGAATGTCAATTCTCGTAATAAAAATTCGTTCAAAATTCAGTTCCGATCTATTCTCGATCTCTCAAATTGCGAAAAATGTATTCTCGTAGTAAGGTATTACTAAGACTAGCAGAGTACCAGTTTTAAATTCGGTCACAACACATTAAAAATATTGTTATACAGAATAATTGGGGAGTGTCTAGGCAATAACTCGAGCAGTTCAGAGTCGCATACCTTAAACTCGAACTGATTGATACTCTATGTTCAAATCCTCTAATTGTTGGTATTGACACTCTAGGTAGTGTATGAAATATTAATTTTAAATGTTAGATTAAGTATTACCATTAAGAACATTACGCACTACAGTAGGTACACGGTATATCTGTCCTGCTTCTATCTGTTAACACACACATAGCTACTAGGAGTTACATCATTTTTAAGGTAATAACTCAGTTTTGTTGAAACTAATTTGTCTAGTCGCTTTTGATAATGAAAATTTCGTCGGCATGACGTGTGTATAATAAATAGATAAAACTTGTACTTTCTGGGTTATACCTTATCGTTGTTGAACTTTGGAATTTAAACGTCAAATCTAAATAGACAACCAAATAATTATGATAAAGCATATATTGATAGATGGTGTGGTGTCTTAGTGTAATATAAGTATATATGTGTATAAACTTAAAACTCAAATTCAAAATATATTAATTTTCAAACAATTTAAAAAATCTATGTATTCGTATTTTATGTAGACTCTAAAGTCAAAGATCAACACAGACGATAGCAACAATCTCTCTTTTATCAAATATTCAGCGAAATTAATATATAAAAAAAATATACCTATCGAAAATCTACGATAAACATGTGCGGATCTACTGGCGAAAGATGCTAGGTATTCCCTGGACCGCACATCCCACCAACGTGTCAATCCTGCAAGAACTTAAAACAGACAAGGGTTTCTACCATCTGCCTGCGCAGAGTTTTGGAATACTTCGGTCATATTGCCAGAAAGAATGACGGCAACTTAGAGAAGTTAATGGTCACTGGCAAAGAGGATGGAAAAAGACCACGAGGTGAAAGTCCGACACGTTGGTCTGACGAGATCCACACTACTCTCGACACCGACAAAATGGTTACTTTGCTGTGTTTATTTATTTGATACATCAAGTCTTAGTTTATTTTTGATGTATTGGTGGACATATTGCCTACGGCATTCTTAACCAGTCAACCATATTGTGTGATGCAAAGTATTTACTATGTATTTACAGTATTTACCATGTCAATAAATCTTTGTCCACCGCTGGCATTACCAGAATGCTAACAGGATTGCCACGTTATGTTCTCTCGCTGTTCGCTCTATTTATGTTCTCTTCTCTCTGCTCTCTAGTCATCAGAATCGATGATCACCCGCTTAGACCTTAACGTCTTGAACCCAAATGTCTCAAATACAAAACAACCGAATGAGCCATGCAAGGCCATCCCTCTTTTACGTCATTAACAACATACTGTCTAGTTTAATTTTCAATGTTTAATTTAAAAATAACTTATATTCGCGTTCTAACAAATAACATCAATTACCAAACCAACAGTTTATAAATAGGAGATTAGACACTTCTTAACCAAAAAGATCTAGCAGATAAAGTGGATTGACATTATATCATTATCATCATCAGACTTTAGAAGTCCACTGCTGGACATGGGCCTCTTCTTAGAGAGGAGGTTGTGGCTTAGTGTACCACGCTGGCCAGACGGGTTGGTATAGGGTTTTTATCAAGTTTTCCTTCTCTTTACAGTGCTGTTGTCCTGCGTACTTAGCTCCTTTAGTCGCCTCTTACAACACCTACGGCATGAATAGGGGTGGTGACACTCCGTATTCTTAATCCGTCACCGCACGTGACAAAACAGTGACAATATATGCAGCAGACCATACGTCATATGTAAATCATTCCTAAAATTGAGATTAAGCTGTTAAAGAGATTGCAACTTATATATTATAACTAACTAGAACTCGTAAAGAAAAAGGATATGTAATTTATCAACTGTCAGATCCACAAATGAGATCCTTTCAAAGCGACAACGACAAACACTAATTAATTCTATTGTCAGTCTAATACAGTGTTTCTGGGTTAATCTTTTTTTTTTCTGTACGAAAATCCCCTCGGATACCACTCACCGGTAGTTATGTCGGACTCGAACCGACCAAAAACCGCACGCCGTCTCGGGTACCAGTTGCCGGGGAACCAGGTGTACCTTAGGAAGGAAAACCCTGATACCCCGACATACCTCGGGCCATCTACGGCGTGTAAATGACCCCCTCCTGTGTGGGAACCCCTATCTATGTCCCCTTTGTGCTCCCAAAAAGGAACGCGCTTCGCAGCGCGTCTCGCCACCACCCTGGTCTGCTTCTGCTAGGGTGCCAGATGGCCTCACCTACCACCTCCAGGCCTGCGCTTACGGAGGACGGAGGTCATTTTGCGACCTCCAGCGCCTGAGTCGTCTGCGGCACCTGGCCCGTTGCCGGGCCTGGCGCTCCGGGAGAGTTCTAAACCTCTCCCGGACTCGCTTTGCCATCTCCTTTGCAAGCAAAACTTGCTCGCAAAAGGAGACGGCGGAGTTCCACGAACTCTCGCTCCGTACCATGGCGGCAATCATGTCATCGGTAGAGGTGCGGTAGAGGTATATTTTCTAAGATAAAGAAGTTTGCTTTGAAGATTTTTTATATTTTTATCAAAATTATTTGTTTAAATATTTAGCTTCTTCAACAATTATTTACTTTTCCTTTTATGAATAAAGTGTGCAATACCAAAAAGTAAAAAAAATGTACGAGGCTCTTTGAAAAAAAAATCAACAAGGTAAATCTACCTTCTTTTTGTTATTGTTGTGAAATAGCCACATTTAAAATTTTACTGACCCTCGATCGGTGTATTTTCGTATACACTAAAACAATCTGGTTCAGATGTTCGTCAGTAAAGTTACCACAGCTTTGACTGCGGGTAAGTACTTCAAATCTTCATCCATATGTGCCACCAAATAGATTGCAGACTCTATTAACACGGAGCAAATACAAAGTCTATGAAAGTATTGGTACTCTTGTGTCCATTAGGTTGTACAGCAGTTGTGAAACCAGCGCAGCAGATGCCTGACTGCATTGTATTTAGAGGCGTTATTAGCAGAAGCCGGTTTACTAAAGGGTATACTTAATATTGTCACTGAGACTGTCATGAGAGACACCTGGTGAAGCCCTTATACATGATGCTAAGATATCTTTCACAGGCTCTACTGAAATAAGTAGTAATTTTAAAAGTTTTTTTGTAGAAGAGTTACGGATTTACTCTAGTGTGGAGGTGCCTGACTAATTATGCGCGTGTGACACCTGATTAGTCCAAGATCGTGACAGGGTGCTCCATATATACCATTTCTTTATACCATTCGCGGTAAACTTCATTCAAATATCTAATCCGGCAAAAGGCTTGTTGAGAATAATTTAAATACAATATTTTTTAACTCTTAATTCACAGGTCTTCAAGTTGGCAAGCTAACTTAACAAGCAGCTGGTGCTACCAATATCAAATAGGTCACCCTTGAATTCGGTGGTAAAAGTCTTTTGATTAAAATGGATGACGCAGACTGTAAGTTAATCTTCATATGTTTTACATGTTTATTATTCACCATGACTGTTGATTTCCTAAATTTCTTTCTGTTTAAGTAAATCTGGTATGTTTTCTAAACAAGGCCAGAAAATGTGTAGTACAGACTTTATGTGCTAAAAGACCCAAGAAGGTGACCAAAGAAATCCTACCACACAACATGGACCTCAGGTAAAGTACTCTTAAATAAATGTGAATGTAAGTTTTTGTCGTTTGGTGTAAGGCTTCTGGAGGCCTCCTTGCGCGACAGAGCGAACTTGGTCATATACCATCGCGTCCATGTCGGCCAGAATGACGAAGGGTGGATATCGCGCCAGGACCATCGCCGCCTCAAACGAGATCGTACGATAGCCCCGTACGATCCGTATGGCCATCAACCGGCATGCAGGCATGCAGGCTTCTTAGCAGAGCCTTGCAACGTGTGGCACCCGCCAGGTCATTAGACCAAACGGGCGCCCCATCGAGGGCCATGGATCGCACGCCGCCCATGTAGAGGCGGCGAACTTTTTCCCGTGGTCCTCCGAGATTGTATTCTTACTTTTATAGTCTTTTAACTTTTATATATGATTGGTCTAGATTGATCTAGATACTAAGTATATTTGTGATGTCGATATTAAATTCTGATAAATACATACCTATGCTAAATCTATATCTATACAAATAAAGAAATAAAGTCTGTTGTAATGTCAACATAATAGGTTTTTTCATGCTCACACGGTTATTTGCACGATGTCTGTGCCTAAGTGCCAGTTTAAATATTTTTGTCCGTCTGTTTGTTCCGGGTAATCTTCAAAACGGCTGGACCGGTTTTGATAATGTTTTACTACCAGGTAGCTGTCTATATAAGGAGTAACTGATGACTGCACGGATGGCGTACGGTGGCGGTCGCCTCGCCGCTTCCTACTGCGCCGAGTGTTGTGGGTAGGACGACACTTTAAGTGATCCACGGGAGTTGTCTTTTTTTTTAAAAAAAACTTAGACTATTTTTTTTTAAATTAGCACTTTTATTACAGTGCAGTTTTTTAAATTTTCATACATGATAACTACTAAATTATTATTTTCTCGTGTAGATATTCGGACCAGTAGGTACAGAGTATTCCAAAGTTTGACACTTTAGAGGAAGTTATCGATAGTGCTAAGGCCACTAACTATGGACACGCTGCCGGCATATTTGCTACAAATGTGACCAATCCTTTACAATTCAGCAAACATATATAAGCTGGAATCGTTTCATCGGTGATTAGGTAGGTATTACACCTACCTAATCACCAAATTTATATTGAAATGGTCATTCAATCAAATAAATATTTACCAGAGATGAGATGAACACTTATTTAACACGAACGCTTACTTGGAAGTCAAGTCCAACACTATGGCACCACCGAAAAAAATGTAATAGAAGTATTTAGTTTAAATAAACCAATAAAAATTACATCAACAGATTTGCAATCAAGTTTTTTTTTCATTTTTAATAACAGTAAAAAGCGCTTTAATTCATTGGCTTGTCAGTCACGCCAAGCCATAAAAGCATGAGGATTCTAATATCTATACAAATAGAATTACTTACCCTGATTGATCAACGCAGAGCCTAAACAGCTTTGGCTACAATCTTGAAATTTTGGCAGCTGATGTTTTTTAAGTTGTAAGCATCCACTAAGAGGATTTCTTGAAAAGTCACCCCTAAGTGGGTAAAGAAACTAGCTACTCAGAGCATGTAACGTGATATAAGGAACTTGGTTCCAATAAAAAAATACAGCCTTTGTCCTTAAGTGAAGGCCATTCCTCCTTCTTACCCTATAAGAGGTAGACGGGTCACCCAGTGTCTTAAGTAACTATCGCCCCCCATGGATACATGCAACTAAAGAGCCACCAGTGCTTTGCCGCATTTTGATTCCCTCCCCCTAGCGTCAGGGAGAGAGGAGGTTTAGACCTTGATAACCACTTCGTGTGGTGACGGATTAAGGATACGGAGTGTCACCACCCATATTCATCCCGTGGGTATCATAAAAGTCGACTAAGGGAGCAAATTACGTAGGATAACAGCACAGCATGACGATGAACCACACTCACACGGTGACACAAAAGCAAGGAAAGAATTGCTTAACGCCGGTTTTCTGTGGTTGTTGATTGTTACAACACCACCTTTGGGTGCCTGTTGCACAACTTAAGTGGGTCCAATTTTGCTGTAGGAAATCTGTGCACGGTGGTCTTCTGATTGATGGCGCTATCTGGTGGACCTATATGCGCTGCAAATTATCAGAATATCGTATCATATCATAGTATCGACGGTAGCAACGTGTGCATAACTTCAAATTGGTTTTTTTTTGTAAGAATTTCGAAACAATCACGAAGGATTTTAATTTTTTGTATAGTGTTATTTAAGTATTACTTAAATATTTTTAGAATAATCGTACTAAAATTCCTACTGTCAATTTGTTTAATACATAAAACGTTGCTCACTTTGAAAAAGGTATTGTCTACAAACAGTCTTTGTAAGTAGAAGTCGTTTATCACTATCTAATTTGAATGTTAAATTCAAAACATGATAAAGGGAATCTATAAATAAGGCACACTTGTAATTCACATCTTTTAGTGTTGGTGAGACTGTTGAACGTGAAGTGTAGATAATGGCAACGCACATAAAATATACGAAGGTAAATACCACTTATTTACCTATTACCTAGTTTAATGTACCTAAAATGATAGGGTAGTGGTTATCGTAAATAACTGAATAAACAAATGCACTATTTAATGTTAATATTAATGTTTTGGAGGTCAAGTGCGATAACATAATCTTTTGGCTACGTATGAATTACTTTTTTAATGCTTTTTAAAACTATTTAATTCTATTTTAAGTAACTGTAACTGATCTGTTGGAACATCAAAAAAATCTGAAGTGTCTTTCCATACCCTCAATTTTTCATCGTTAATTTCCAAAATATACCCGGTTGAAGATAATAGGCTCAGCTATGTTTAGACACATGATTACCTATTTAAAATGCAGGTGCTATACTAACATCTTTACTGTATATTAAGATATTATGTAGGGTTTTCCTATAAGTAATATTATTTACGTATTCACATTTTTGTTAGCTTTTAACGTACGATATGAATAATTCAATTAAATAAATAGGCTTGTTTCCACTTTTTTTATTACTTTCACAAAAATATAAAAAAATGCAAACCAAAAACCACTGAGGGTTTGTACGAATTGTCATTTATTCAACAGATATATTATTATTGGTTACGTCATCAAAAATAATTATTACTCACAAAATCGCAAAGAGAGAAATCTCCTATTCTTTCTTGCATTGGACAGAGCCTGTGTCAAAGCATTTGATAAATAAGAAGCCAGTTTGTGCGAGGCGCCAACAGGTTGTTCATAATGTGTTAGTATATTTTTGATATGGTTTCGTGTGATGCTGTATTTAAAAGATGGACTGCGATTGTTTATTACACGTGGTATTAGGTAAATAGTTGTCTTCTCACCGAACACATTTGACTGTGACTCTGTGATCTTGTGTTGAACATTTCATGATGAGTACGTAGGTATATGTCTATTTCATTTTGAATGTTTTCATTGAATAATTGTTCTTTAAGCAGACGTTATACGTTGACTCAGTTTAAATGGGGAGAACTTTGTAAAATTTCCATGAATCCCTGTGTAAAGAAAACTTTTAACGGTCACTATTTAAATCTCCAAGTATAATCACATCAGTGAGATTGTACTTGTTTATAAGTTTGGACAGTTCTTTAATAAAAATCATTCTATAACCTTCATCCACCGATAGAACGATTTTTATATATACTCGTAAATAGATACACCGATACATAAATAGCACACACAGTTAATGTATTATTTTTTCTCGTAGTTAGAAAACCGGTTATAGATAAGAACGAGTGCGTTTTGCTGTTAAGACACTAATGTCTTGACAGGAAATCGTCAAATCAACGCCATCATTTTTCTTGGCATATATTTTTCCTTCGTTACACCAAATGCACTGAAATGATCCAGCTAATTGTTACTTCGCCCTGTATAGAAGAGTCTTTATTGCTGGGGATAATAGCTGAGCGTAGATATACGCGGCATTTATTGATAGCAGAACTATGTTGTCGCTTTCGAATAATATCAACTACAGCATAACAGATCGTGTTTTCAATTATCGCTCAGTGAACTTGTACTTGCTGAACAAGTATTTATAAGTACGTATTCTATCGCCTCTGTTTATTTTAGAAATCTGTTGTTACATTAACGAACTAAAAAAAGAAAATAAATATAGTTGAGAATTTTTTTATTTTTTTTTGGTATTGTGGTAAGCTAATATGAAGTGAGCTTCACAATTTAATTTCTTTTGTAGCTGTTCATCGACAACGAGTGGGTGGATTCGCAAAGTGGTAAAACGTTCGACACTTACTGTCCTCACGATGGGTCCGTCATTGCCACCGTTGCTGAAGGAGATAAGGTAAGGAATCTGTTTAGGAAACTAGACTTATGTGCGTAGCTATTTACGAACAATGTACGTCTATTTAGGGTTCCGTATGTCTGCATAATAAATCTTTCCCTACCAATTTTTATTTGGATCTTTGAGTTATTAGACAAAAAAAAATAATTTGTACCGTATTGTAGTAGACTTAAAGTCGACCCCAACCTAGTTTGGGAAAAAGGCCCCGAGGAAGGAAGGGTGTAAGCGAGCAGACGGATCACTGCCATTCCAGATCCACAACTCAGTTGCTGTTACAACCTAGGTCGGATTTAAGTCTACTACGATACGACTGAACTTCGATTTTCGCGCGCGCGACTGCTGACCCATAAACCATGAAAAATAGTTAGATTGAGTACACGTAATTCTCAACTAGTTATTGGTTGTGAAGTACAATATTTTTATATGATAATATTTTAAATTACAGGCCGACGTAGATTTAGCAGTGAGTGCAGCTAAACGTGCATTTCAACGCAACTCAGAATGGCGTTTGATGGATGCCTCCGAACGGGGAAGGATCTTGACTAAGTTTGGCGATCTAGTAAAGAGAGACATTCAGTATATTTCAGAACTGGAGTCTCTAAACAATGGCATGGTACTAAGTATGGCGAATAAATTCATTGGAAGATGCCCCACAAATATTTATTACATTGCCAGCTTAGCTGACAAAATCCAGGGATCCACTATTCCTGCTGGTAAATATTAATTTAGCGTTCTCTGAAGATTATAGTCCTTTAAAAGTATAATTTATTGTATTTACCCGTAGAAAGTTAACCAAGATTTTTAATTTTTGTAAATGTTCAACATGTTGAATTTATTAATTATAACTTAATACTTCCAAACGTTTCTAAAAAAAGGGACAGACAGACAAACAAAAAACGGCTAAGTGGTTCCTTTTTCGCACTTCGAGGAACTGAACCCTAAAATAATTAGAATAGTGTTGACTTGTCATTCAACTTTATACTTTTAATTATATCTTCATTTGTAAACCTCATAAAACTTTGTAACTTCATATATTATGTATCCTTCTCCTTCAGATGGTGAAGTATTTTCATACACATTAAAACAACCAGTTGGTGTTTGTGGACTGATTTTGCCATGGAATGTGCCTGTTTTAATGTTCGTCAATAAAATCACCACAGCCTTGGCAGCGGGCAAGTTTTAAATAATATATTACTTACTTTATCATTTTATATATATAAAAAGAAACTCATTTAAACACCTACTAACTATTGTATTCGCCAGGTTGTACAGTAGTTGTGAAACCAGCGGAGCAGACACCACTAACTGCTCTCTATCTGGCTGCGTTGTTGGTAGAAGCAGGTTTGCCTAAAGGTGTCATCAATGTTATAAATGGCTACGGTGAGACAGCTGGTGTAGCCATTACACACCACCCTGATGTTGCTAAAATATCTTTTACTGGATCTGCTGAAGTAAGCCCTAGTAATACTTTCTAACACTTCCAGAAACGTGCTATCATTGCGTTTCACGTGTTTCGGCGTTTCTTCCTAGAGTGCGTCTTAGGAAATGCCGGCTCATTCTAGCTGTGAAGGCTGACTTGTAAAAATATCTGAAAAGATTTACTTACAGAATTTTATCAGAATCAGAATCATATTTATTTGCAAAAATATTGTGACAAAAGGCATTACAATGGGTAGTAGAAGATACAAATATTTTTTACCAAAATAGTGGCATGCAAAAACATTAAATAAAATTAAAATATTTATGTCAAGCAGAGTAAAAGTTGTTTTCTTTCTTTATCGTTTATTGGTTAATTTATTGGTGTATAATTTCAGGTTGGTAAGCTAATTCAACAGGCAGCTGGTGTGAATAACCTCAAACGAGTCACACTTGAACTTGGTGGCAAAAGTCCTCTTGTCATTATGGATGACGCAGACTGTAAGTTAAGCTTATTGTATTTTAAATGTTACTTTTTATTTTCTGAAATTTGCTTACATTTACTATAACTTTCTATTTTCTCTTTTTTTATATTAAAGTGGATTTAGCAGTACCAGCAGCTGCCCAGGGCGTATTTTCTCTCCAAGGTCAAATGTGCATTGCTGCATCGAGATTATATGTTCATTCCAAGATCTATGACAAATTTGTTAAAGCAGCAATTCAGTACGCTAAAAATATCAAGATAGGTGACCCCAAGGATCCTGCAACTCAACATGGACCGCAGGTAGAATTAGTGACATTTGTTTTAAAGTTATTTTAGTATTATTCTGTGATTTATATTACACATATACAAAGTAGTAGATAATATCCGGCACAGTATAATAACTAAGTAATACAATATAATAACAGTATAGTATATACAGAAATTTATAGTACAGTATGTAAAAATACAAGTACTAACATATTATTATACAATTTACTGTATAAATCGTTGATGAACGTCGTTGAACTTGATGTTTCAAACACTTCGTAAAAAATTATGATTGATATGCTGTCAGCAATGCAGCCATTTAAACATTTAAGCAGACATTTAAAGACTTATTTACTATGTTATAATTTACTTATGGTATGTATAGATGAATAAATTTCTAACTTTTTAATATTTACTAATTTAACGACGAAATCTCTCTGTCTGTGTTTTCAATGCAGGTAGATTCTGAAATGATGACAAAGGTGTTGAGCTATATACAGAAAGGAAAAGAAGAGGGCGCAAAGCTGGTCCTCGGTGGTAATCGCATTGGCACAAAGGGATTTTATGTAGAACCAACTATTTTCATTGATGTTAAGGATGACATGGCTATTGCTAAAGACGAGGTTAGTATTTTTTAATGTAACAGGTATTGAATGCCCTCTTAACTTATAATAGCTATAGTGCAAGTTCAAGACTATTGCAGTCCAGTATTAGATATATATTGTGGAACACAACTTTAAAAGTTAAGAATATCAAGAACTAAGAATATCTTGGAATCGTTTAAAGATAGTTTTGTTTATTATAGGAATTTTGGTGATATTTTGATTTTGAAATTTGTAGATATTTGGTCCAGTCCAGAGTATACTAAAGTTCGACACTTTAGAGGAGGTTATCGACCGCGCTAATGCAACTGTCCATGGCCTCGCTGCGGGTATCTTCACTACTAACATTAACAACGCATTGCAATTCAGCAAGCACGTCGAAGCTGGCATCGTCTGGTAATACCACATCGCCAAACTAGATTGTCGTTGGGCACAGTTTTTTGTTGAAGTTAATTGATTTTTTGTCTTTAGGATCAACACATATCTGGCATTCTCACCCCAGATCCCGTTCGGAGGCTTTAAGGACTCGGGCATAGGTCGTGAGAGGTAATTGACTTGGGTATAAAAAGAATATCGATAATTAATTATCATGTTATGAACTTCTGAAACTTTATCCACTTGTAACTGTAATAATTTTAAGTAACAATACACAATTCATATTTGATAGAGATAATACGAGTCGATACGATTTAATAAGATTATTTGAGTATTTTGAGAAATATTGCGCACGTTAACAATAATATATGGTGTATAACGATAACAGTATTTCAATAATTGTTTTTTTTTTTCAGTGGTTTTGAATGCATCGATGCTTATTTGGAAGTCAAATCTGTCGTTACCTCTCTAGCGAAGAAAATATAAAGATTTTGGTACGTGAAATAAAAAAAATTAAATTGCAGTAGTTTATTTTTGTTTAATTTTAACATAATATGCATTTTATTGGTTTAGCGAAACTGAGAAGCTGGTGACAAGGGCAAGTTTTTTTTTACTTTTAGTTCGCTTGATAAATTGAGATCGAAGTAATTTCGCTACGGTCATAGTTCTAAATGCTGCCTAAATTGCGTATTATTAACGCGCTATAGACAAATTCATGAGCGAAAGGTTGGATTTGTATAGATTTATCAATGTTTATCTTTTATCCCTGTCCCCGTTTTCTTTATCCTTGTGTTGATCCCGGTATGACAGGGGTCGCAGCAGTCTCCCTTCATTCTAGTTGATGGTTTGAACTAAATACCATATCATTCTACTATCATTATCCATTGAGAAAAAAATTATACATACTCATAACTAGTCAGTATTTTTAACATACTTTTTAAAAAAGTTAGGTTTTGCACTTCTTTTATATATAACTTAGTATTCTAAAAGTGTCATTTTTTTGTTCCTTATATTTACTTGAAAAGAGTTTCAAGGAATTCTCTTCATGGATTAATATAGATTGTATAATGGAAGTGGAAAATATTGAAGATGCGGGATCACGTATTTCTTGAATTGACTTTCTTTCTTTTTTCTTTTAAAAGAGACAACTCCCGCACTAGGTATAAATCCTGTGTCGCGGGGGACTTTACAAACATACATGAAACGGACACAAAGTACACCCAGACCCAGAACAACAATTTGTGGATCACACAAAGTATTGTCCCATGTGGGGTTTGAACCCACAACACTTGGCGTAATAGGAAGCGGCGTGGCGACCGCTTAAACCACTACGCCATCCGTGCAGTCACTTTGGTTATATTAAGGGTTAAAGTATGAAATTGCCAATTTGTACTGAAAAATAGAAACTAGTTTTTTTAAAGATGTAACATATTTATTTAATCAAAACTTATTATAAACTAATGTTGATTTATACGAGTATGTTGCAATCTAATGTTTACTGTAGTGATTAACCATAACGGACTCTCTACAAATATAATATGTAAAAAATATAATTTCGTGTGAGTACATAAGATAATGCAATCTCTTTTCTTAACTTTTTTGAGTCATTGATTTAGAAACCTACGATCGCTTTTCCTTGTTATTATTTTGTTTATTTTTATATTATTTATGCTCATTAAGTGGACTGTAACGTTCTTGAGTATTAATAAAGTTATTTAAATCTAAAATATATATAATATAATTTATGACGACGAACGAATGGCGTAGTGGTTTGTGTAACGGACTGCTATTCCAAAGGTCGTGGGTTCGATTCCCGCTCAAGTCAAACATTATGTGTGCATGAACATTTAATGTTTAATTTGGTCTGGGTGTTTCTATGTATAATAAGTATGTATTTACAAAAAAAAAGTATTATATCAGTTGTCTAGTACCCATAGTACAAGCTCTGCTTAGTTTGGGACTAGATGGCGTTGTGTGAATGTGGTAGAATATTACTATTATTATATATAATATAATAATATATAATAAAAGGAAGTTCATTTATGTTTTTACGATAGAACTCTGGGATCTAGATTCGAGAAACTGTGTGGAGGCTTTTTGTACTGTCTCCTGGGAAGATTTTTTTTTATCACGTAGAAAATTGATTGATTCACGTAGAACATGGAGTGTTACCACCCCTATTCATCCCGTGTGTGTCATAAGAGCCGACTAAGGGAGCTAACTACGCAGGACAACAGCACTGAAAAGAGAAGGAACGATTGACACAAAACCTATACCAACCCGTTTGGCTAGCGTGGTATAGTAGGCCAAACCCTCTTTTCAGAGGAGAGGCCTCTGTTCATAAGTGGACTATTAAAGGCTGTTGTTGTTGATGACGATGATGATGATTTAACGAGTCGGAAAAATAATTTATTTTAATTGTTTCATTGTACAAACATTATACTCTTGGTAAATAAATGTGCGATAGAAAAAACTCATTGTTAGTTTTTAATCTGTCTTAAATTCGATACTAAGTCGGCACAATGCTTCTCTACCACTCTTCCTGCGCGTGCTTAAAACTTAAATTTAACGTTGTTTAAAATCTAGTCAACCATGGAAGTGACACATCTTTAAAAGGCAACCTTTTTGCTTGCCGGTTTCTTGTGACTGATATTCAGTCGACTAACATTCGGTAACAACTAATCGACGTTGATAAAAAAAAATTAAGGATAATATTATTATCAGTATTGAAGTGTGATTACTCAAAATTTTTATCTATATATATATATATATATATATATATATATATATATATCATCATTAATTAACAGATAAGGGAAGATATTTTTAAATTTTCAAGATAATCTAGCAGTTATCTAGGTGATCAAAGTTTGAATTACTTTTTTTATTTCATGGTTTAAATTTTTATTGTTTTTAGTTGTACTATGTTTCATTGAATGTATGTTTTTCTTCTTCTTGATATTGACAATTGATTGCAAGGGACACAATGTAGTGGATTACTATGTCTACTAGTTTGATAGTGTCTTTATCATGAGGGTCAACGGCGCAGCCTTATTTTAAAGATATTGGTATGTCATTGTACTCCAGTTTAGTCATAGGGACAAACTAGAGTAATTGTTGTCCTCCAAAGCTAGTCGGCGTAGTTGGCGTTGCTTCTGCCCTAGGGTGACTTTTGCCCAATATGGGGTTGCCGGTCAATAGCACTGTACGCTGCACCGGTGTGGGCGGCGTCTCTGACCGCCCAGAATAGAGCACGCCTCTGGCGCCCTCAGAGGATATCGGCGGTAAGAGCCATACGCGGTTACCGCACCGTGTCAACGGAGGCGTCGTGCAAGTTGGCCGGAACTCCCCCGTGGGATTTGGAGGCGGTAGTGCTCGCCGAATTATATCGGCGGACGGTTGAGTTCCGGGCGGATAGCGGAGATCGGTCCCCGCCCGAAGAGTTACGCGAGTGGCGTAAGACCGCTCGTCGAGCTACGATGGCTCGTTGGTCGTCTCGGTTGGGGGCTCCACGTGCTGGCGTGCCAATAGTGACAGATGTTTTACGTTGGTCGCATCCTTTAACGAAGACGTCATCTCGCAGAAAGAGGCTTCGGAGAGGGCCCGGGAGGATGAACTACACTTGGACACAATTCGCTGCCGGCGAACCGGGCGGCGTAGGCGCGCTTACCAGTGCCTCATTCCGCCCTGAGTGTGGCCGCTGGTGGAAGAGACGGGTTTTTCTACCCGCTAAAGTGGCGCGCTATAGCCGCGCGGAGGGCTAGAGGCTAAATAGAGAGTTTACCCAAAGGTGGTGCCCACGCTGTGGCGGGCAGGCACTGGGAGGGGACCGGATGGCTTAATATCAGCTGTTCCAGGACCCCTCCTATCTCAGGCGCAGAGTGGCACACCGTGTGGTTTTAGTCGGTTCGATTCTCACACACCGCCCCGCCGCAAACCGCGGTGGGGTGATGGCCCGAGGCGGTTTTAAAAAAAGAGTATTTGTCGTCCATCAAACACAGATTACCAGCGATAGATAAGTTTATCATTATAGTTTAACCCACGGAGTGACGTCATGAGTCGATTGGTTCGGTGGAAAGATAAATACAATCACATATATAATCCCTAACACTCATAACCGTACTCATAACGGTAATCTGTTCGAGTTGTTGTTATTCGTTTTGCGTAGTGAATACAATGGCACCACAAATAAAATACACAAAGGTACGGCAGATTTATTATATAAATATAGATCTTAAAGTTCTCCTATATTATAAGATAAACATAATAATTAACACAGCTTATATTTTTTATTATATTTAGTAGGTACTCTATACGTAAATAAATTAGATAAGAAGTTGCCTGCGTGTGATCTATGAAACCTTTAATTATATTTAAGTATTATATATGATAATACATCTATTCTAGTGCCTGTAAAGTGTTTTTTCTCTGGATTTCCCATTTAATGTTCAGAATCTGACCTTTGTACTAACAAATATCAATAGTTATAAATATGTATGTTACTCGGTATATTCACCAGCGCCATCTAGGTAAATATCAACATACGTAAACAGTTTCTGTTAACGATAGATATTAAATATTCCATTATCATAATCAAAAGCCTTGAATAGTCCTCTGTTGGACATACGCCTCTCTTTAGAAATGAGTTTTTGGCTTATTAAACCACACTTGCCAGACGGGTCGGTATAGAGTTTGTTTCAAGTTTTCCTTCTCTTTACAGTGCTGTTGTCATGCGTAGTTTGCAAATATTTATTGATTGCAAAGTGGTGTATAAGTAAGTACACAGGTCTTTTACCTACGAGGGTTAGAAATTAAACATTTTAAATCCAAACACATTAGAGATAAATGTGAATTAATAGTTATAATCTATAAAATCGTTTGTTTTTTATTCAACAGTTCGACAAACTGTTAAGTCATATATGAATAGCTTGTATGATATAAGATAGATAGATATAAGATGATATTTATTTTTGCGCTGTTGATGCGATGTGTTTATCAAGTTGGTACCAAAACAAGGATGTAATTTAATTTTAAATACCTAAGTAATAAATAAGAACAAAAACCGAGTCCGAGTAAAGTATATTTATTTACTCAGAACATGTACATTTCCTCAAAGAAACAAGACACTAAAATATCTCTAGGTGGCATGCTGTCAAAACAAAACTACATAGGTAGTTATTAACTCTTTACAAACATATTTATTATTATTCACACGAGAGTGACTAATACAGTAAACCCAGCTTTTCAAATAGTATTATTTAGTCTGTTTTTTATAAGTCTTCAAATAATTAAAATAAAGTACTTACATCCATGTTGTGTTCCTTGCGTATGTTTTCCTTATTTTTATTGTCTTCTCGTTGACGGCTCAATTTAACAAATTATATAAGCCAGATTCACAGTTTCCTTATCATTTTATTATAGTATATATCATCTAAAAATGACTAATAACATAGTTATTGTGCCAGTAAATTGCACCATCGAAGTATATTTTTGCCTCATCATCAAATAACCCAGTAGCAAAAAAAAAAAGTCATTATTACAAGCGTTTTGTCCTACACTAACGGAAACACGTCTGTTACATACAGAAAAAATAATGTTTTCAATTATGGAAAGATCTTTTTGATGATCTTACGTCCTTGTATTTCATTCTCACATAAAATAAATATTCTCATACAGTATTTCTGAAATTTGTATACTCTATATTCATCACTATCAGTTATATTTCAACAAATAGTTATTTTTAAGTGTATTAGTTATACTATATATAAGGTACATATATATATATATATGTACGATAAAAAGTCGATCCCTTTCAAATAAGAAATATATTTTTAAACACGTTTGAGCAATCAGGTAACAAATCAAAAGATTGCGTTCTTCTTTTCTTTAAATTTAGTCCAAAGTATTTGTAGTTTTAAATGAACAGATATATTCGTTTTTAGGGTTTGAATCTATGGACTATTACATTCGTGTACATGTATGAAACTGATATTGAAAAACGATAGAATTGTAAAACGTAGCCTGTCGGTGGCAGATTACTTGTGGAAACCCTTATGGGCAGGTACCCCGCCGGGGTTTGTGGCGGTGGTGTGTCGGAATCAGACTGACTAAAACCACACGGTATGCCACTCTGCAAATATAAACACTGTAATTGCTTTAAATGAGGATACAGAGTAGTTCAAGGTTGTAAGTAAATAAAATGTACAAGCGCATTTAGCCATTCAAATAATAGGATGCAATTTGTCCTTAAATGTTAAATAATTTCAAAAATATTAATTAATTATTACATTAAAAGGTTACATTTCATTATTTCTGATATCTTATATTAAATTAAATGCGCCTGTTAATAGGAGGGATCCGGGAACTACTGTTATTAAGACATCCGGAAACCGGAGTGACACCACGGCCTCACAGAAAACCGGTGTTAAGAAGTTTTTTTGTTGCTTTTCACCGAGAGAGTGAGGTTACCGGGTCATGAAACCACACCCCCCCTCCTTCCCCAGATTCTGGAAGGACTTAAAAGGTGGTAACGCACTTTTGACTTGAGTTGCCCCCTACACCTTAAAAAAAATAGTGGCACTCCGGGAGTGCCGACAGAAGTGAAAACTTGAGTTTTTTAGTATTTTTCGATTCGAAAAGTTCCTACATTAATATATATCTATGTTATACGTATATACACAATATATGTTTATATTATATATAGTTATATTATTAATTTATTTCAACCCAAACTTAAGTCTCGTGTAAACGGAGCCAATATTTATGTAGATACATAGACCTTTGTACAGAGGTGTCGGTAACGGTAACAGTGTCGCTAGTTCAATGGTTTTTTTCCATCTCAAATTTTTTTTTTGTTAAACCATTAAAAAGTTTATTTTGTTTATTGTTCAAAAAATCCCAACGCGCCTAAAGAAGTTTTCACTTCAAAAGCTAACTAATTAATTGAAGTAACACTAAAATTTTTATTAGGCCAAACAAGTTTTTAATCTATTTTATCGTTTTATTAGGATTGTACAATACAGGCCTAACCTTTAAAAGTAATTTTCTGTTGTAGTTGTTCATCGATAACGAATGGGTGGATGCCAAAAGCGGTAAAACTTTCAAAACATATTCTCCCCATGATGAGTCAGTCATAGCTTCAGTTGCCGAGGGAGACAAGGTAAGAAACATGTCAATTTTTATGTTAAACTATTTCAAATGAAACGGCTTTAAGGAGTAACTCTGACTAGTTTAACTATATCATACTATTAATACAATAGCATGAAACAGTTTATCATTAAAATTAGATCAATCCAGAATAGTTACATTTATTTTTATTTTTGTTATACAAATTATCTAGTTTCAATATTTTAGAGGAATTCGTAGATTATATCATAGCAAAAGTCTTTTGCTATGATATAATCACGTTTGCACATAGTACGAGTATATGATAGAAAAACTTTACTAACCATGTTATATTTGTTACGAGGGATGGCTGATTTACAGATGAATTATTTATAATTCTCTTTTTCGAATACATTAGCAATAAATATTACATCCTATTGGCTGCGAAAATAATAAATGTTTAATCCCTCCTAGCTCTTAAATGACTATATCCCACCTGCTGATGACGCTATTAATAAAGTATTTGGCTAAGTTAGGAAAGAAGGTTGATGATGATTTCACTAAAAGTAGTTTGGAATGTTTGCTTCAACTTTGATACACACTTCACATATGTCATTTTTAATTTCAGGCTGACATAGATCTAGCAGTGAGTGCAGCAAAGCGTGCCTTTCAACGAAACTCAGAATGGCGGTTGATGGATGCATCCGAGCGCGGACGTATTTTGTACAAGTTTGCAGAACTTGTAAAGAGAGATGCCGAGTACCTTGCTGAGCTAGAATCTTTCAACAACGGCATGGTGCTTAATGTAGCCAAAATGATAACCGGCGCTGTATACAAAAGCATATGCTATTTGGCAAGTTTAGCTGACAAAATCCAGGGATCCACAATTCCTGCCGGTAAATATAACACGTATAAGAAAAAGAACTAAGAAACCTAAGTAAACAAATGTATTGCACTGTTATCATACACCTATAAGCAACGAATCCGGGTCACTCAAATGCTTGTGAAAATCTCGGCAGCTAATAACGCTAGTTCATAGTTCATCTGTATGCGATGCTAAGTGCCAGATAATTCAAGAGGTATACTGATATTTTAACCTGATGAACAGAATTGATCAATAGGCAATTTATTGTTTTTTTATGCTCTCTGCAAAAACGAACTATAGTAATAGTAATTTTCACAGAAAGGTAACGAAAACATTATTTTTTCGCAGATGGTGAATTGTTCAGTTATACACTGAAGCAACCAGTTGGTGTGTGTGGCCTTATCCTGCCATGGAATGTACCCATCGCTATGTTCGTTAATAAAGTCACAACAGCATTGGCAGCAGGTAATTTATTTATATCCTCAAGATGCACCTAAACATTATGACAAAGGGCAAGCCCCGTGGGTCAACCATCGCTCATGGATATAAATCGATCGGTACAATGTTGAGAAACTAGATACTTCTCATAATGCATGGCGACTTTTCTATTTGCGTATGTAATGATTCCTCTAACAATTAGAAACATATCGGACGTTTTGAAACATTTTAAAACATTTAGAAACGTTTCGGGATGTTTTCAAACGTTTGTGAATGTTATTTAGATGCTAGGGATTGTATATATCTATCACGTACATTCACGTATACACGTATTGCAATGTCTTTAGATGTACTGAAACGCTTCTAAGCGTTTTGTAATATTTCTTTCAATTGCTATATGCTATAATACGCCTCTACCCCGGATGTTTCTAAACATTTGAACACCGGTATGGGACCACCTTTAGATGCTAAAAAAACTAAATTTTTGTGCACTAGGTTGTACAGCTGTAGTAAAACCTGCGCAACAGACTCCATTGACTGCTCTATACCTGGGGGCACTGTTAGCGGAAGCTGGTCTGCCTAAGGGTGTCGTTAATATAGTCAACGGGTATGGAGAGACAGCTGGTGCGGCTCTAACTCTTCATCCAGATGTAGCCAAAATATCTTTTACTGGATCTGTTAGAGTAAGTATTTTTAATAAGAATCCATACCACTCTAAACGAAAAGTTATATACAAGCTATATACATTTTAATTTTAATATATAAGTTATATACATTTTAATTTGATAAATTGTTTAAATTCTCAAAATAAAGGCCCTCTTGCTTGTGGGATTAAAAATGTACAGTTTCATGGTTTTTTAGGTGGGCAAGCTAATCCAACAGGCTGCTGGGGTGAATAACCTTAAACGAGTAACACTCGAACTGGGTGGTAAAAGCCCTCTCGTTATAATGGACGACGCCGATTGTAAGTAAATTTTTTAATTTAGTTATTAATCTCTACTCTCTCTCTGAAAATATACATCTTATAAAAAATATATTTCTTTCAGTGCCGAACGCTGTGCAGATAGCTGGGTACGGTATTTTCTTATTGCAAGGTCAGATATGCGTAGCTGCATCTCGTTTATATGTTCATTCTAAGATATACGACAAATTTATTCAAGCTGCAATTCAGCTTGCAAAGAGCCTTAAGATAGGCGATCCGAGCCATTCTACAACTCAACATGGACCGCAGGTAATAAATATTTTTCTTTTATGTTAATTTGAAAATATTATTGCTGTTGCCTAAATGCTCCTAAATGCCGTGCACTCATAATGGAAGCTGTTAAATCCCTATGTATATGAGCGATGTTACTGTGTGTCTTTTTAAAAAACTCAGGGTTCAGTATTCGATTAATAGACAGACAGATATTTAAATATAATACTCCTTCAGGTGACAGGTTTGCCAGAATCTGCCTCTCGAAGGAGACTTAGATTAGTCAATGTAGTCGAAATTGGATTCTGACAAAATTGATCACCATGCCTTAGATTGGGTTATATTCGAACATTAGTAAGAAACATAACTGAGGGTTTAACAGATTACGGTACGATCTACGTAATCATTCTTTTAATATCGCCGCAGATGTAGTATAGGTACTTATATGAGTTGATCAACAGGTAAAAATAATATTGTCTTGTTTGTTTTGTTTCAAACAACAATACTGTGTCTTGTAGGGTTCTGCAACAGAGTAATAAATATATATATAATAAATAAATAAATAAATAAATATATATAATAAAGATAAGTAAATATATAGTTTGACGGCACGGATGGCGTAGTGGTTTAAGCGGTCGCCACGCCGCTCACTACTACGCTGAGTGCTGTGGGTCCGATTCCCACATGGGAAGACACTTTGTGTTATTCACGAATTGTTGTTCTGAGTCTGGGTGTTCTTTATGTCCGTTTCATGTATGTTTGTAAAGTCCCCCGCGACACAGGATTTATTCCTAGTGCGGGAGTTGTCTTAAAAAAAAAAAGTACTTAAGGTTTCTCGTTCGTTGCTTACACAGTTACACTTGTTTGGATTAAGTTTTATGAGTGTGGGTTTACTAAGCTTTCTCACTTATACACGATGGAAATATACTACAATGATAAATGAAATTCTTAGAGTAGTGTAAGTCATTTGTTATTTCTTATGTATATATTATGTAAGTTAATACGAATATGGATTTTTGATCACACAAAAGAAGTACGAATTAAGCTTGTTGTTGAATTAGAAAAATACTAGGCAGAGAAGAATAAAGATCGCACTGTTGTTTAAATTTCATACAGTTAAATTAGTGTGACTGTAATTCTTAAACAAAGTGTCTTTTGTATACAGGTTGATGGGACTATGCTCAAAAAAGTCATGGAATACATCGAAAAGGGTAAAAAAGAAGGCGCAAAGTTGGTATACGGTGGCAAGCGTCTATGTAGAAAAGGATTTTACGTAGAACCTACCATTTTTACTGATGTTAAGGATGATATGACTATCGCGAAAGAGGAGGTAGGTGCTGTTTTTTTTTGTTTAAGAGCTTTTGACTTTTTAAATAATTTCATGCAATTAAAATATTTAAATTCGTAGATATTTGGACCAGTACAAAGTATTCTAAAGTTTGATACTTTGGAGGAAGTTATAGACCGCGCTAATGCGAACAACTATGGCCTAGGCGCAGGTATTTTGACTGGAAACATTAACAATGCTCTACAATTCAGCAAGCACATCGAAGCTGGTTTTGTGTGGTAATAATTCACTACCTGTTTTTTTTCAATGAAATATTATATTTCACTCGTCAGTGTCACTAAGCGTTTTATTTTAAGAAGTTATTTTCGTTTCATAATAATTATGCTGTTGTCCGTGTAATATGCATTATATTTTTGATGTTGTAGGGTTAACACTTACCTAGGATCAGGACCGCAGCTGCCGTTCGGAGGTTTTAAGGATTCCGGTTTGGGTCGCGAAGGGTAAGCATATTTATGTTTTAGCAACCCTAGTGTTTAAACTTAAAAGTCCTTTTGTAATCTTATAATTGAAAAAATATATCCAAAATTATTTTTGATGAAAATTTAAAAAGAAATGTACTTGACCTCCATTAACTCAGATACATCGTACCTAAAATGACTAAGAAGTATATTTGAAAGTGCACAGTACTTTTATCCTTTAATCACAAAGAAATAGAATAGAGAAATAAAGCACAAAACTGACTCGAAAAATAGACAAAAACAATGTTTGAAGCGGTTTGTACATCGTGTCTAAATTTGGGCTGAATCAGTGTAGAACTTTTTGAGTTTTGAAGTGTACACAAACCAACATTACATACAGCTTGGAGACTGTCTGTTGCGCGGTATGGGGTCGCGCGTTGTCGTGAAGGAGCAGTAGGGACGACCGATTGACCAAAGCTGGTTGCAGATGTGACCACCAGACCTTGCACCTACAGACTATTACTTTTTCCAAAATGTTGACAACTTTTTAGTGGGTAAAAAATTCAATTCCCGAGAGGCAGAACAAAATGCCTTTGAAGAGTTTGTTGCCTCCCGTCCAGCTGATTTTTACGAGAAGGGCATCAATAAACTGCCAATGCGTTGGCAAAGATGCGTCGATTGCATGAGTGATTACTTCGAATAACAGAAATAAAAAAGTTTGAAAAAATAAGTACTTTCACTTATTGCATACAAAACGGCAATTGCATAGGTAAATACCTATTAGAATAATTAAAAAGTTTAATCTTAAATATATATAATTTAAAAAACTATTTTGGCAATTGACTTTGAATTACGAATTTTGTATTGTCTTGAATCCCTTACGTGGTATCATTAAATGAGTTACTCTATATATTTTTTACTTGACCATTTTGTTTCAGTGGTTTCGATTGCATTGACGCCTACTTGGAAGTAAAGTCCGTTACGATGGCACTGCCTAAAAAAGTTTAATGACTTTGCAAAACATATACACTCAATATATTAATAAAGATTTCTGTACAATTTCCTTTTTTTAATCTATTTTGTATATAAAATCCTTTGTGTCATCTTTATTCTGAAGCTATGCCTACAATTCAGAATGATGTGATAGGCGAGGAACGGTGTTTTTTGACCTCAACACAAAGGGAAAATCATCGTATACAAAGTTATTGTTCGATTACTATTTACTTATCATATTTTCTATTGATACGAAACAACTAATGCGGGGGATGAGACAGGCTCGGTCTCTACGGCTTGCGTCACCACGTTATGTGACAGTATAACATAACTTGATATGAGGCGTGTATATATATATATATATATATATATATATATATATATATATATATATATATATATATATTTCCTTTCATAAGCTATTTTTTATACTCATTATTTCTACAATATAGTTTAAATGTTTGACATCCGCCAGACGTACAGCGACGGCTCAATTTTTTAGTATTTAAAAAGTAGTTGGTTACTTTTTCTCTTAAATAAAAAAGAAAATTTTTGTATTGTATAATTTACAATATGAAGATACAGGCTTAAAATGCAGATACTCCTTTATTTAATTTGCTGTATGCGGATATCGTAGTCTATTTGTTCGATTTCTTGTCTAACAACTATGCAACTGACATCGCGAGTGTAAAGCAAAGGAGAGAAGGCGGTTTTGAAATCTCCTAAGCAATAATAAGTAAAACAAGATAAAGTAAAATTTTAAAGACTGTTAAATCCTGCTTCCAAAACCTGTGGCACTGGCACCCTCCACAATAGGGCATAGACGTATCATATTATATCGACCTACCGTCTTGGAGCGAAAGTTGTGTGGCGAATTCTATATACAATGAAACAAAAACAAACCGGTGCAGCGGTTCAAGCTATTGTATAGTTATATATTATATAACTATCTAAATTCAATGTCAAAATTAGTTAAAACGAAAGCAAGTTTTATTAAGAACCTTGGGGGTGAATTAATTCACTTCTTTGTTTTAAACAATATGGTGTCTTCCGAATAATTTCTTTATAATCTAGTCCATACCTAGCACGTGCTATGTAAGGACATTGTACATGTCAATCAAAAACTGATTACAAACACACACAACATAGATTGGAAATTGTCAAACTTTGTTTCGTTAAGTTACATTAGTTAGTTTTAATTGAAGTATTTAAGGTACGTCGCTACTTACGTAAGTTTTGGGTTTTACTACCGTGTGTTAGGTACAACCAGAAATAATAAATTTTGAAAAAGTAGGTATCAGATAAGGGAGGAACTCATTTTTGTCTAACAAAATATTTCAAATGTCTCTCTCTCTCTCCCTCTCTCTCTCTCTCTCTCTCTCTTTCTGTCTTTGAGAGATATCTGGAAGCCGCTAGGAAAACAAGATGGAGTGTAATCTCTAGATTCTGTGTACCTAGTAGAATATAGTCTGGAGTAACCCTGCGCCATTTCCCGGACACACCGGTTTAGGACAACGAGCATTAAAAGTAGGTATCTTGTTTAAAATATTAACCTTTGTAAATCATATCGAAGGGATTTTGCGATTGCTCTCGTAAAACAACTTATTTTAGGAGTCGATTTATTGATTCATCATAAATTGTTATTCTATCTTAACATATCACACACACGCACATCGACATGAACACCTATTCAAATTTTATCGCTTCACTTATATGTACATAAATGTTTTAACCTCTGCTGCTCTCAATTACCACTGATCAACCTGATCATAATCTTTTAGCTAAATTTTCGGGCATCACCAATACCAGGAAAACTTCTCTATCATTCTTCACGATGGGCATGGGCAGGTTGGTTTGATGTTGAAAAAAAAAAAGAGGTTACTAGGCCAGGTGAAGCTATTAAGAAATCCAACAGGTGTCCTCATAATTAGTACAGGATTGGTATTGGTGGTGGGCTCCGGTTTCCGTATTTAGACTCAAGAGTTGTCCTTAATGCGTCAGGTAAAGGTTGGCTGGCCCAACCAAGCTCCTTCCAGAAACGCAGAAGCCTCTTGTGGTGTTCACAGGCGGGGGGGCCCATTGACTGGCCACTCCCTCGCATTCCAGGATTACGTGGGCGGCAGTTTCTTCTTTTCTTCTTCTCCTCTGCGAAGAGGACTGACACTCGTATTAATGGTGAATAGTTGTCAGTTCAGGACTAGGTGTCCCGTCATAGTTTCTACAACTATTCGGCCGTGTGTACTAAGACTGTTCAAACTACAAGTAAGTCTTGTTGAGACTTCAGTCAGCACTAGTTTGGACTGTCTGCAGTCGGGTGAGCTCTTCCACCTTCGGTTGTGTGTGTCACGAGTACGTTGTTTTTGTACCTGAAGTTGTTGAAGCTTGTATTCTTTAAATTACAAGAGTATCCAGTCGAAACATATTGTGTAATTAGGCATCTGGTGTAGGGCATTCACTACAGATATTTAAGATATAAGTGAAAATAAAAACGATTAAAGAAAGTATGCAGAATGCTAAGAGTTCAGACTATTAAGCAATTGCATGATTACACTAATCAGATGACTGCGCAAACTGGATACTTGAATGCGTCGCTATCAACTTACATATTGTTGAAATAAAAATATATTTTCCTAAGTACGACAAACTTTTGTGACCCTATAGACTTGCAGCTGGTAGAACTATTGCTACTTAAAACTTAAGAATTTACCAAGCATACCATATTGAGTTAAGGCAAATATACTGATATAGGCCACTTTGCACATATTATTCTGCTTATTCCATCGAATACTGGAATTTTACGACACATATACGCAATCGTTGAGAAAAGCTATGGAACCAAAAAGTAATTCACTATATTTAGGCAAATCTGAAAATATGTATTGGTTAAAGATGACTCGTAAGAAAACCTTTAAAACTTCTCTGTAAACTAATATTGGTTAGTTAGTTATAGTTTATGGAAAACTTATTTTATCTATTAAATTTTAAAAATTTGATACCTACTGTGTATTTATAGGTTGTAAGCGTTATATGATTTTGATTTACAAAAAACTAACTAACGAAAATAAAATTTATAGTGAACTAAAAAGGATGTGTGATCTTAGAGACAAACGAGATTCTCGAGCATGCGTAGTGCCCAATAATTTGCGGAGGCAGCTTCATTTCACTAACATCCCAAGAGCGGTATGCCGCGCGCGAACTTAACAGTTGGTTTGGACGCCCAACGTACTAGTTTCACTACGTACAGAAAAAGTTTTAATAGTTAATAATATACCTATAACCTTGCATGTTGTACAGTGATTGTAATGACCAAACACTTTCAGTAGATATATCAGTGAAATTTTGGTGAATTTTCATCTTAATTTAGTGTTGTTTTAAAGTTATAAAATTAAGTCTATTTTTTTTGAAAAAATAGGGTTCTAAGAAACTTTGAGGTAAAGGTAAGTGTTTTTTTCAAGTGATTTATTTTGGACATTCAAGAAAACGAATTGAAAATAAGTTGACGTCGGAACATAGTTCAAAACAAATAAGTCAAACAAAGGGGACCTGTTGTTATTATTGTGTATTTATTCGTATTGAGCAAAATTAAGTAACAAAAGAACAGATCTTTGTCCGTACTTACAATTTAGTTACCAATACTTCTTACTTCGGTCACAAGAGATTTTCATTTCATAAAAGAAAAACAGTTCGTACCTATTTCCATACTAAATGTATTTAAGAAGGTATATTATAGAGGTTTATTTCAGGTTTATACTGGCCGGCAGTATTATAAACCTCTAATAAACCAACCCCTTCATAATAAAAATTAAGAAGCGCAAGTCTTAAATTTGTCATTATTAGTTGTAGCGGTAGTTGTAAAGGTGTTCTATACTGTGCCCATTGATCTTTTGACTTTTGAACTGGAAAAACAATCGAATATGGTAGTTATTAGGGCTTCCAAACATGTACACATAATTTTAAAGGTTCTTTCTACTCGTATGTATCTAAAGATTCAAGAGAAGAGAAGAAGAGATGGCAGATTTTTCCGAACCTGTAGTCAACAGTCTGTACCAGTATCTTTATTATTTTTGTATCAATGTATGTAAATATTGCATTACGTATTTATGTGTAAATATTTTGTGCATCCAAAGGAATTACCAAAGAAAATACCTGTGTCATTAAGTCCGCCTTATATAATGTTTAAGCTCCAGCTAAAGTAAAATTACAAAATATTAATAATATTATACAATTATTACTGAGCGCCTTGTTGGCCTAGTGGTCACTGATCCCGACTGCTATGCTGATGAACTGACAACTACTGGATGCAAGCGACGTTCTTATCGCTGGTTACGGTTTCTTTTAGACTACCTTAGTATGGACAAACGCGATGGATTATTTCATAGCTCAAGTTGCAACGTAAAAATCAGTTAAATATATTCAATTTTTATGTAATAATAGATTCCTCATATGTAATTGCGACTGCACGGATGGCGTAGTGGTTTAAGCGGTCGCCACGCCGTTTTCTACTGCGCCGAGTGTTGTGGGTTCAAACCCCACATGGGACGACACTTTGTGTGATTCACAAATTGTTGTTCTGAGTCTGGGTGTTCTTTGTGTCCGTTTCATGTATGTTTGTAAAGTCCCCCGCGACACAGAATATATTCCTAATGCGGGAGTTGTCTTTTTAAAGAAAAAAAAAAGAATTATGTATACCCTCATAATAATATGTTCGCTTAAATACATACACACAATAATTTATACATATATTTATTTTCAATATACATGAATGTTTGTTGTTGAATTGTAAACAATGGTTTTGTTCTAAAGTTTTATATTAAATTGTATAGACATAACAGTCAACAACATAAAATATAAAGCGGACTTGTTTATTGAAAAACAAGAAATGTCTAGCTAATGACTTTTTCAGCAGTTAAATTATGTCTTTCACACTGTAACATCAGGAGGAAACATCTCATTATCACAGGCAAAAGAAATAGAAGTATTAATACAATAGGCTCTGATTGAGAAGGGTTGACAGT